ACACACGCACAAACCTTGTTATGTGAGACCCACAACCACATGACGCTCGACTCCAGGTCCTGCACATCCTGCCTCGTCTTGGCAAACATCTCCTGAAAGTGCTTGGAGCAGTAGCTGCAGCTGAAGAAGCTCTTGACAAAGCCGTGCACCGCGTCCAACACGTCTCCGTATCGGGCCTCCTGGCCCACCCGCACAGCCTCCACAGTCATGGCGTGGAACAGGGTCCAGAGACCGCAGGGATAACCCCGGTACTTGATGGAACTCCCGGCACAGCCCACAAAGCCCGACACGGGAATCTCTGCCACGACGGGCTTGCTCATCTCCAGCCACTGATCCGCCGTGATGACGCCTGGCCCGCCAACAGCGTCCAGTGCTGCCAATAGGTGGCCCAGCTTCGTTGTCACCGGCGGAGGGCCCGGGAAGAATTCGGCCAGGGCGGCGATGAACTTGCGCAGGTTCGTGTAGTCCTCTCCGGAAATGGTCGAGTGCAGGGCGATTTCGTGGCTCAGCGAATACCTGATGGCACTCGTCATGTCCTGCATGTGCACTCGGGTGTTGTACGCTGCTCCTCGCGGCTTCCCGTTGGCCAGAATCTCCTCCTCCTCCACCACCACCAGATTCTCTTCAACTCTGCATCATTCATTTTTTTGTTGTGAGAGAAAGAGAGAGAGAGTAAATATTATAGCATATCCGGAAGAGAAGGCATAAGGACAAAAATAAAATTGAAACACGGCATTTTTACCCGCTACTGCATTAAGATCACTTTACAAGGAACTCCAGGAACCTGAGAAAAAAAAGAGTTGCACAGTGAAATCTCGTTTCAACGAAGTCACTGGTACCAGTAAAATGGATAAGTTATAAGGAAAAATTCGTTATAATTGCTCTCAAATAAAATTACAGCTATTGAATGGGGACCAAAAGAAAATGAAATTGTTGTATTTGATTATTTGTTATAATGAGATTTTTAAAACAAGATTCCAGGATAATATGATTCACGATTGTTGCAGCATGATGTAGGACTGAAATTTGTGGGACACTGGTGATAAAGGCTTTTTTGAAGTACTTCCACACAAGGTTTGTGAAGAATATCCTACTTTTCCAAATTCTTTTGATGAAATGATTGAGAAAATTCAGAATGGGAAATACAATTATCATATTTCAGACCTTCCCTTTCTCATATTTTCTAAGAATACTGTACAGTGGGAGCCCAACACAAAGATGATTTAACGTAGGGACACTTAGTTGAGGAAATCTGCCCCATCATCTGGACAATGTCTCAACATATGGATAATTTTTCAACATTTCAAGAAACAGAAAAGTTTAATGATTTCAAAAATCGTATCTGGGAGCAGGTTGAACACCGTGTGCTTTAATTTGGATTTAGTAATTGCTTTATGGTGCAATTTGTGTGATTGATATTTTGTTTTTGTGAGCAGGGAGGGGAAGACAGTGTACGTATTTATATCAGCTTTGCAGTTTCACTTTTCGGGATGTATTTTCTTTTCTTTTAATATCCATGCACAGCTAATTTCTATTTTTTCCATTCTGATGTGAAGAATGTGTTTGGATGAACATGGGTGAGATTGTGAGAAGGGGAGGGGGCCTGGATGTGGTAACATTGTTTGAACCATTCGGATGCTCAAAGGCGGAAAATAAAGCTGGCTGTTCAATTCAACATGGTTATACAATATTTTTGAACAAATTTTGCTACTTTATGCTCACAAAAATTAGGAATACATTTTATGATAAATTTACTCAAATTCATAATCACAATGAGGTTAATTTTGTGCTCCTTTTATCTGCGTTTTTTTTTTACATATAATGCGTGTACAGCATAGGAAGACTTATTAATACGTATTCCTTGCCTCTTGAGCCATTTTTGGTTTCACATTTTTTTTCAATTTTTTGGGGAATTTATTCCTGATTTTCGATTAAATAAGTTTACGTTGAAGTTTATGGGAAAATGTGACCCAACATGCAGTTGCTCCAACATGGGGAAAAGTTCCACGCACCGATCACATCCGCATCTCCACAGTATAATTAACCCAGCAAAGAAATAAACGACACACACACACACACAAGCAAAACAAACCGTTCTTGAAGCGGCTTAAAGTCGACTTCGTTGTATCCCGGGACGACAGGGGCATCATTATTCAACTCGGGCAACAGAGACTTGAGGGCATCCATGAACCCCATCTTGGACACTTGATCCCCGTAAAGAATCTTGACTTGACTTCCCTCGGCATCCAGAAACAAGATGGCCGGGGTTCTCATCACTTTGTATTTCGAGTACGAGGGATGCGTGGCTTTGGCTCGCACAACGTCCACATCACTGGCAAACAAAGACGCATCCAGGGCAACTTCTCTTCCGATATCATCAGTGTCTCCTTCCCACTCGTAGACAACAACTAGCATCTTTTTCCCAGGTTTCGGTAACTCTAAAACAAGGGCAGAAACGAAAACGTTTTCTTTCATTTCATTTCTTCTCAACTCAAGGTTGGATAGATGGCGCCTCTTGAGTCTTGACACATGTGTTGCAAGTTGCCAGATAACCACATGCCTACAATGGAGGGCCACAACATTCAACTGAAGTCATGCTAACTTACAAAAATCTACCCCAACATCTGCACAATGTCTCCTTGACACTTGAACACGTTGCAAACACTTTCAGAAAGAAAATAATCTCATTTTTTATACAGTACTTTCAATTAAAAATTGCAACTACTGCCATTTAACAAGGAGTCAAAACTGGACTGCCTCTGGTAAACTTGATTTCTTTTTCAAAACAGACTCATTCCGCCATCTTTTTTTTATTCCTTATTCATATTTACACATTTGAAATCTGCCGTGTACAACTTCGGATTTGTGCAAAATTTTGTTTTATTCTCTTGTGCAGTGTTTTCAAGGTTTCTTGCAACTTGTGTCCTTTCTTTGCCATCAAAGTATACAAGAAAATGTTCTGAAAAATAGGAACATATGGTATATTCAAGGTGTCCCCTTGAATACATGTCTTTAGTTGCGAACTGTCTGACTGCCTGTGTTTTTTTTTCACTGTGCTGTTTTTCATATGTTCTTCTTGGGGTTCTGCCAGAGCATAACACACAGTACTGTAAAAGAAAATGTGTTCTGACTGTGTTGTGATCTGTACCAGTCTGCTTATTTGTCGTCTGCTAGAACACATTCATTTGCATGAAAAAAAGACAGATTGTAATCTTCCAAGCAGTTATTTTCTGTATCTCAAATTTAAAAAAAAGAACCTTTTCATTGAATGACTTCGTCTTCTTTCATTTGTCAAGTAAAATGTTTCCATTCAAGAGTATGGAGAAATGTGGCGCAACAAACAGCCGCCAACAAGTGAAAAAAGTGGAAGGATATGCGCAAGACAAAAGAGAGAGAGAGGGGAAAAAAAGGAGACTCACCTTGAGAATCTCGCAGCTGTACAAGGTCAGGAAAGTGTTTGGCATTGTACTTGATCCTCACCTCCTCCACATAGTCGGCCACCTTTTGCCGGAGCTTGTCATTCGGGATCCCGGCTGGAGACGGGACATCCACTCCCAAGAACTTGTTGCTGGTCATGCCCGGAGGGAAAAAGCGCACAGTCGGGTACCTCATCACCTGGAAAGCCCTGCACACGGGGGTGTTCTTGTCATTGGCGCAGTCTATGGCTCCCACGCGAACAACGCTTCTCCACTCTGTCAAAGACCACACAAAAAAGGAATAATTTTATTCTACTGTAATACTGCACAAGAGAAGAGACTCCAAGTCAAGTTGGCAACCAAAACTGGAATTCAAATCAATCAGGATCAGGATGTCGATTTCCTCAAGAAATAAAGTAAAACCTTTCTAAAACAAAGCCAATGTGACCATGAAAATCGCTTTGTTTCAAGGAAAATTCGTCATAGAGTAACTCATTCAACATTGTGGCAACAGGGCAGGGGGAAAAACGACTTCGTTGTATGCTACCATTTGTTACAAGATTCATTGCAAAGAGATTCCCCTGTACGATTCATGCATCAAGAGAAGGAATGCCTAAATTGCTCACATATTTCAATAAGAAAAGATGATTTTCACTTGAACAAATTATACTCAATTACTGGGTTTTTCTGAGCTGATCATCCTCTTTGCTTATCTTCCAGCATCAATACTGCTTCAGCCTTCTACACTTGAACCTCACTATTTCAACTTCTTCAAGTTTTTTTGGATTCTCCGAAAAAGATCCATTAAAAACCTACGCAAATCCATGGCTATCCCCCTCAAACCACCAAAGTTGAATTTTTCTGGAGGCCCTTCAGCTAATATTTCATCAACACAGGAAAGATAAACGCAATTACAATAATGTAACTTGATGTGCTTTGAAAGGAAATGAAAGGCTACAAGGGCAAATGAGCCCTTGCCTTCAAGTTCAGCATCTCATGTCAGTAATTCAAGACCCAGAATATCAACAATCACAATTTCATTGTAATTCTTCTTTCTTCCCCCACAAAAGTGTTTGTTTTCCCCAACTCGAATATTTTTTTCTGGGCCCTTGAAGTTTGACTGCACCAAGCAGAAAATGCTTAGAATACATGGTCAAAAAAATAAATAATATAAAAACTTTGTCCACGATTCACAGAGATCAACAGAAACCCAAGTGCAGGAAACAAGGCCCACCGAAAATTTGCTGGGCGAATTCCTTCCACGTTGGGGCATAATTCATGCAGTGTCCACACCAAGAACTGTAGAACTCGATGACCCAAGCAGTCTTGCTGAGCAACAGGTACTTTTCCAGGCTGTCGTTGTTCAGCAACTGCATCTTGTCCGAGTACTTGTACAGTCCATCTCCTGCTCCTGCTTTGCCCAGTCCTGGCGGTTTCGCGACTGCAAACGCCACCAGGAGTGGCAGCAGAGACGCCTTCACGAGGGCTGCCATCCCCCCGTAGCTGCTCATTTCATCTTACACATCATTCATCAGTTACTCAAAAAAAAAAGGAAACGCACTGGTTCCTGTAAGACATGGGAGAAAAACACGCTTTTAAAAAATCGAACAATCTCAAAATTGTTTTCCAAGACTACAAGAAATGGCTGTACCGCATCTTCAACACTAACTTTTCCCCCTAAACGTACTCATGGGTCTTCCTCGGACTGGAAAAAAAAATTAAATTAAGGCTTAATTTCAGGGAAAATAAAAACATTCAAATAATGATAAAGAGAGAACTACAAAAAAAGTGTAGCCTCTTGAGCTTGATAATGGATATTTGACCTACGTCCTTTCTTCGTAATTCCTTATTTTCGACAAACAAACAAATGACCGAAGTACACCATTTTCAAAGAAAAAATTGGGAGTTGTTACAAGAATTTCCTCTCTGCAAAAAAAAAATTCAATCGTCATTTAGTTCCATGTCTTACTTTTTGGGGGTAGGCGATACGACAAAAAATAAATGTTGAAAGTTCCAACACAACGAGGGTTTATTCTGAATCATCATCATCCCCTTCTTCATTTGATTCAAAGTCTTCAAAGTCATCATCCCCGGATGCGACGGGACTGAAGTCGTCGCCATCGTCATCGTCATCTTCATCATCACCACCACCCTCCTCCTCGTCGTCGTCTTCTTCTTCTCCAGTTTCGTCTCCATCACTGAGGGCATCAAGATCACTTCCTGAAAAGTCGTCTTCCATCTCCTCTTCACCTGCTTCACTGCCGCCGACGTCGTCGTCGTCGTCGACACGCGACCGCATTTTCTTCGAAGGTCCGACTCCGGATGCAAAGTCCAGGTCTTCATCGGATTCAGCTTCGTCCAGTCCGAGTTCTTTGGCCAAGAAATCGTCCACTTCCGCATCGGATACATCGCTTCCGAGTTCTTCCGCGTCTTCGTTCTCGGCTTTCCGCCTTTTCCGCTCTTCCCTCTTCCTCTTACGCTTCTCCCGCTCCTTGTCGTCCAACTGTGGTCTCGGGGTCTCCTTGTCTTTCAATTTGACATACCTGACAAACACGTGAGGGTTAATCAACAGTCCAAAGAAATGTGACCCTTTTTCACGACAAAGTTTGCAAACGACATGAGCATACTGTGATACAGTCAAATCCCGTTAAGACGCCCTCCCTCGGCAACAGCCGATTTATTTATTTTTTAATCTTTCTCGATGATAAAAGCATTGAAACGCCACCCACAAAAATTGACAACTCAAACATGGTCCAGCCAATTAATTTTGTCTCCGATGGTCCGCCAATAAATTTCGAGTTTCTGCAAGAGTTCTCCGACGAAAAAAAAATCACAAACACAAACATGACAAAATTTACTTCTCGGAAAAATTAGCTAGATGTAATTTACGAATTCCAGGGCTATTTCGATCTTATCCTAGAAGAAGGGTAATTTTATTTCCCGTTATTTTAGCCTTTTTGATAACCACAAACCCCGTAAAACCTGAGAAACAAATGGCTTACCAATGTTTGGAAGTATTTTTTCTCACAAAAAAAAAAACCAATTGCATGATCAACAAGTCCTGCAATGAAATAAATGAATGAATGGGAACCCACTTGTCCAAAAAGGCATCCATGCCTGTGCCATACACGTCCTTCGGCACGTGCAGCGAACGTTTGCCAAACACCACGTCTCTCTCAGTAGGCTGCCACTCCGTCTGCTTCTTCTGTCCTGCGGCTTTCGGGTTTTTGGCCACGAACTTGTCCAAAAACCGCAACAAGGCAAAGTCCTTCAGCGGATCCCCGTCGTAATTGACTCTTCGCTTGCTCGCCACTTGCTGTGCAAAGAGCCTGGCCGTCGGGTGGTAATGCTGGCACAAACGGGCCACTTCCCAGGCTACGCTCGAGCTGCCGGGGGCATCCGGATGTCTGTCGAAGTCTTGACTCGTCTGTTGCGGCTTCGTGTGGACCCACGAGGCCCGGACGGCTTCACTCTTTTGGCCATCATCACCGTCCCCAATCAAATCCACATCCACGAAATGCTCTTCTTCGTCGTCATCATCATCATCGTCGTCACGACCACGGCCGCCTCGTCCATTCATCTCGCCGGTTTTCGGTCTCAGGAACACGGATTCGAACGGAGTCGCGAGAAACTGGGGATTCTTCACCAGGATTTGCGAGATGATCACGAGCAAACCACAGACCAGTTCTGTCGAGACCGTGTGGCACAACTAAACATCAAAAAAATGTTTTTAAAGGTCATAAGCAAAACGAATGGATAATATGTATAATGATCGAATTACCTGAAGAATACGCTTGAGAAATGCCAACTGCCTTTCCTTGCTCCGGTCTGCGGAAACCACTCGGAACAAAATGGTCAAAAACATGGTCACTGCAGAACTTTTTCCAAACTGCGGATCCAAAAGCTTCCTGTATAAACTCCTATAAAATCTGCAACGAACAAAATAACAATCTTCTCAACAGTACATTATACAGCATACGCAGTTTTGCTGCAACTGCGCGTTCTGAGTTATCGACAATTTTTCATAACGTTGATAGTAAAGTACTTAAAAAGGGTTTCTGAACTGCCCCAAGTTGTTTTAAATATGTTTATTATTCTGTGGCGTGATTTCACTTCCTATCACACAGATGTCGCCGAAACTTCATCAACATAAATTTACGTTTGGACCAACGTGAATGATGGGATAGACGCAGAAAATGAAAATGAGTACAGTACCTGTCAGTCAGCTCTGAATGGCTCTCAGAAACTTGCTCTAGCACGCTTAATGCCCTGACGGAAACCGGAAAACTCGAGGAATCGTGGACAGCTCTGAACAAATGATTCAGTTCAGCCATCAATCTGGAACCTGGCGACGGAACGCGTTCTTTTCTCGGAGCACCTTTCAGGTGTCCTGACTCTTCTTTCACCGCAGAAAGTTTCTCAAGTTTTGCTGCTTCCGCCTCGGTTTTCAAGGTGGATTTCGCAAACGGGAATGCTCTTCTAAGGCCTGCAAGAAGTCCAGCTACGACCTTCTTTCCCAGTACATTCTGAAACATCGTTTTTTTTTTTTTGCAAATGACTCTCGTTAATGAACTTAGAGCACCAAGGTAACAGGGAAATACCTCGGTGATGCTTTTCCGGAATAACGATAGATAGATGATGATCAGTTTCACAGCGAGACTCTCTTCGTCGTGAGACAAAATTACTTGAGTCAAGAAGCAAACGGCATAATATTGAGACCTTTCGCCCACATTTGGTCTGGAATTATAAAATCCATCATAACAATTTTTTCTTTCTTTCCGTGGCATGCAGCACGCGAACAAAATTGATGAAAGTGTATTTGACTCCCAATATAATCACCTTCAAGGATTCAAGTGTGTTTAATAAAGAATTGATATAGATTTCAAAATGTTGCCCATTATTTACCTGAACACAAAATGTTCCACTTCTTCACAAACAACCGCCTTCAGCGAGGGATAGTTGATGAGAAGCTGCGTTAATCTGTAGGCAGCACTGGACGCCACTTTTTTCACTGGATCGCCCAACTTGTTCACCAACGTTTGCAACAATTTCTGCAATTAAAAAAACATAATTAATCTCGCATCGCAAATTCATTCCTGGTACTTTCTCTTCCAAGCTGCAAAAATCTCTATCTTTACTACTGTAATTATTCAAGTATAACAGGTATCCTTTTTTTTGACAAATTCAAGAAAAAAAGGGGTGAGCGTACATTTTCTCAATTATACAAGCTTAGGTATGCATTATGTTTGATTCTATTGGGAAGTTTTGGACCAAGTACAACAGACAAACTAATTTTATTGGGAACCATCGAAAATTATATGAATCCAATTCATGTCTAAATTTAAATTTGCGTGTTTTTATCTTTGAAATATTGCAGTTTTGGAGCAATTAAAAATGGGAAGCGCAAGAGGAAATTCCAACATTCATTAATGCTGAAACAATGGATTCAGACTCAGAGATCCAATCCTTCATTTCTGAAATTTTAAAGCAAATACAGAACAGTATTTAACTCAGCATAGAGGGTTGACAGATGTACACATACACGGTTGAAAATCGCAAGGGGGCAGAATACATAGCGTAAGAGGAAAGCCGTGTTTCTCACCCTTTCTTGCTCAGGATTATTCAGTAGAAGAGAATACAAGGTATGCAGAGTTCTGAGTCTCGTGGCATCCACAGGATCTGCAGACAGGGCCACGACCGCGTTCACAAAACGCTCATACTCCTTCTTCACCAGGTCTTCGAACCTCCAAAACGCGATGATCCGCAGTCTCGTGACAGACTCGTCATTCTTGGAATCTGCCTTTTGATTCGCTGCCACAACCTTGTTGAGCTCCGTCAGGGGTTGTTCTTTCAGCGCCCGCAGTCTTCTCGAATCCGCAAGTATTTCAGAAAGGAAAACTTCCCGCAGCGTGTCTACCATTTGAAAGGAAAGCATTGACAAATTAATTTCTTATTTCCCATTTCACTTACATTTCAGGCACACGCACACACTCAAAGGTCACCTCTTGAGCAGAAAACAAATTATATTTTCCAACTGAAGAAATAAACCCTCATTTTAATTTTCTTTTGCTCCCTGGCAACAATAATATATTTACAGTATTCAAGTACATAATGTACCAATTACCCTAGAGTAAAACACGCACTCCGGTTTCTCAGTTGAAAATTTGATGAAGTAGTATCCCCAAATAAGATGCGCAACCCATTTTTTATGACTCTGAAATTTCAATATTTCAAAAATAAGAACACCCAAAATATTTCGACATCAAGTGATGCTGTATTCAACTACTGTGCTGTAATTTTCAATTGTTACCATTAAAATAAGTTTGAAGTAATATGGTACTTCAAGTTCTTGTAATATGGTACAGCAAGGTAATTACCGACAGCCATCAGAGCTTCTCGTCGCTGTTTGTTGAAAGTGGTGTTGACGAAACGAACGATGCGGTCGAAATTCTGAACAGGACTGTCTTGGATAAGAACAACAAAAGCTGCCATTTTGTCAGCCACTGTACCGTTTTTCATAACGGATTCCACCCAGTGAAAGTCTTTCTTTTCTGGTCGGACTTTTAAATCTAAAAACAGAGGGATTTCATGACATCAGTTTTTGGAGACATCGGTCTTCTTGCGAGCTTACGAACATCGCTTGTAAAGACGGGCATCGTTGGCCAATGCTTCGTCTGCTTCCACTTCAATTTCCGAAACGAGCTTCGGAGGTGCATCAGGCCACTTGGTCAGACTTCCGTACGAAGGCTTCGAATAATACATCATACATAAATTAATTCAATCACACACTTGCAACTACTGTTTACTTCAACAATGAAAGCTTCAGCGGCAATAGGTTCGTCAATTGACTAGCTCCCAGCTTTATTTGGATTTTCTCAGAGATTAAATGGTTTTCGGAAGTGGCTAGAAAAAAAAGTTTTTGCGTCAGAAATTTTGAAAATCAAATCAAAATGGTTTGTTTTTTCAACTGTTAGTGAGATGAGCATTCATTATATACAGAATATTTCTGAGGCGAAAAGAGGCTTATATCGATCTACAACACTTCCAAATACCATAAACAATCCCAGATGAGAAGAAAAATATTTTTGTTTTGCGGGACAATCGGTAATACAATAGACGTTTTTCACCATTAAGGGTTACTGGTGTACCTCAAGAATATAATAATAGAAACTTACTGCGTTTTTAAACCACTTTCCAGCTCCGGGAGGGAATAAAATCTTCGAAAACTTCGGATCAAGAATTTCGCTTTGTGCTTCCCACATAGCGGCTTCTTCGGCATCATCCGCTGCTTGTTCATCGTCGGCGGCTTCGAAATCAAATTTCTTCTTCTTTCCTGCAGTCAGAGATTCATGAACATAAAAGATGTGAGAAATATAAATCGAGAATCGTCCTGTCACCTTTGCCAATCGGAGGTTTCGCAGCATCGAATTCAAAATTTCTTTTTTTGGGATCCACATTGTCGAAGGCCAGATCATCATCCGAAAAGTCGGCCTCAGCACCCGCATTCAATTTCGTGACAAAAGATTTCACCTGCGTGATCGTGATATATTATGCACCGTGAAATGAAAAGAAAGAACAAATTTACCTCTCGCTTCAGATGTGCTTTGGACGCATCTTTCGGAAGGACACGCCGCGGTTTCTTGAACGACGCTTTCTTGGCAGATGGCTTCTGAACGGATTTTAACTTCGCCCGCTTCACAAAACCATTCGGCTGCTTCGCCATTTTCTGAAGTTTCGAAAATGTTCAAACGATCATCACTCAAATACATCTACACACACACTTCTAAGCTTCCCGCTCCGCGTTACGAACACTCACTGCAAGTTTCAATGCGTACTAGCGAAGGATGATTTGGCTCAATGAACAACCTGGTCAAATGGAGTAAAGTACAGTACAATATTTCTAATGAATTTCAAAAAGGGCTGGAAATGGAATTTGGATAAATGTGCTCATAGAACATCAATCCTGATTTAAAAATATCAAAAAATTTCAGTATTTCAATTTGAATTGAATTTGCAGAACGCGTGAATTAGTGTACGCCAGTTAAACATAATGTACAAAACAGTATGTGTTTGTGCTGAATGCGAGTATACCCATGAATCTTAACTGCTCTGTCGGACAGCCCTCGATAAACCAGAATGGCGCCTGGCTGGCATGCGGCTTAAGTGCAGTAAGTTCAAGAACAGTGACATTTGTCGAGCCGCATGTTTTGCACACTGTCCGAGTACAGGATTAGCTGTGGAAAAGCGAGAGTGGAGCGTCTGGACGCTGAGCGGACGGAGACGGGAGCAGAGATTTCACTTCGATCTTGACCTTTGAATCGATCACTTGACCATGTACTGTATACTGTGTTGGTGTTGCTGAACGTTGACGTCATGAACTGGACTATTTACTGTGTGATAGCTGCGTCGAGGTCATTTCTGTCTTTGCAAAAAAATTCTGTGCATGTCAAATGCATCGTTGAAGTGTTTTTATGAGATTTTCCGGAATTCTGTCGGATGATCGAACAGTTATGATGTTGCGATTGTTTCTGTCTCAGCTGAGTGACGTGTTTGTACTTTCAGAGTTTGTTGGAGTTACAGTGGTGAAATGCGATCTTTTCGGTGTTCCAGCGCCTTGTGCTGGATCCATTGAATGCCGTTTATCGTTCCGATTCCAGTGAGTCTACTTTGTTTTTGTGTTCAATGAAGTGCGGTATCGTTGTGCATCAAGTTTTGTGTCATTGAGTGGATGCGTCGTTGAACCAGTTTTTTGCTTCTCTGTTTTTTTTTTTTTTACAGTTCGGCAGCTTCACAACAGGAAGTTATGCTGACGAGGAAAGCTCGTTCAGGTCCCAAAAACAGAAGCTTCGCTGCGAAATGATTTGCACTTGAGCAGCTCCCTAACATCGAAAATGTCTGCTGAAGAATCTGTGACTGCTCCGCAGTCGAAGTCTTGCGATGGGGATCCGAATTTCGCATCGATCTGCAGTTTTCTTGAACAGTTCGGAGAGTTATGCGATTTCGAATGTCCGTCGATTCCGGAACTCACCGAAATGCTCGAAAACACGAACAAAGGTTCGTATTTATTTTATCCCACAAATATTTGAGATGTCTGATGTAGTCTTCTGTTTTCGATTTTCAGTGTCTCCGATTTTGATGGACATGCACATTCGGCTTCTTCGTAAAGCGAAGAAGCACGTTCGTCCCGAAGCCTGGGAGAAAGCTGTGGTCAAGTTCGCGCATTCCTACTCGCACAACGACGCATGGGACATTGAACGCTGCGGCTACAAAAAAGCAGCATTGAGTGCAAAGCTGAACGTTCTCAGGGTAAGCTTGTCCTGTAATTTTTGTTTTTTTTTTCGTTTGTTCATTTCTCAAACAAACGGTGAATTATTTTCCTAGAACCTCCTGGACTTGCAGTTCGACAGCAATCCGAAGTTTAAAGACCGCGTCAATCAGATTTCTGCCGCTGACCTTCGCAAAAAGCCCCTTGGGAGAGATTTCGTCGGGAATCAATACTGGCTACAGATGGACTTCCAAGGAAATGTGAAAGTCTACCGTGAAGACGTCGAAGAAGAAACTTGGGCTGTAGTAGCAAGGTAAGTTCCCTTCTTTCTATCTTTCAATTTCCGACTCAATTCTCCCCGACAGCTCTTATATCTGTCAAATTTATTATCAGTCATTTTCGGGCCATTTTCGTTAGTAGTTGGTGTTCATTCTGGCTGAATATCTGATTAACTCAGATTGATTCGATTTGTTAGGTCAAAAAATAAATATGAAGAGAGCTAAATAATAAAGTTTTTCTCTCAATATTCTTGCAGCAACGAAGACGAGATTGTTCAGCTCTTGTCGGATCTACGAGAGTTCAAGATCCCCGAGATAAAAGTCGACTCGGGTCAAACCTCCCCGGAAGATACAATGGACGTTCCGGAAGTTGTTGCCGCGTCGTCCCCTTTGGTACCGGAAGTGAAAATCGAAGCGGAAAGTGAATCGGCGGTGAAAACGGAAGCAGTTGCTGAACCAGAATCTCCGGAATCGTCGCCGCAGAAATCCGGTGAAGTGAATTACAAAGACATCGCGTCGCTCATTGGCTCGACATCCTCGGGTGTCGAGAACATCGCGGAAGTGACGAGCAACGTGACGTCGACCGTGTTCTCTGAAGTTTGCCTCTCTTCCGAGAAACAAGGCCAGATTTCGTCGTGTCCCGTGTCGTGTTCCGAAGACACTCCGGACGTTGCAGTGGAATCTCGTGAGAAGCCGGAAGTCAGCGTCTCGTCGAGCTCCCATGAAGCAGAGAAAAATCAAGTATCTTCCGAGGTGGACTCTTCCGAAGCAGCAGTGCTCGACGCGGGAAGTGGTCAGAGTTCAGTCAAAGTTTCGTCAAGCAAATCGCGCAATTCGTCCTCGCAAAATGACTCACCTGAACGACAGCCCGTGGCAATATCAGAGCCGGATGTGGGAAACCTCCAAGAATCTTCTGTGGCTTCATCAGGAGCAGCTTCGAGTGTTAAAGAGGATTCATTAAAAAATCCTGAAGCTTTGGTGGAAACGTCCGAAAAGGTTTCCGACGTACAAGAAAATATCCTGGAGGATTCTTCCTTCGGTGTAGGCGAGTCTGTTGGAAGCGTCCGTTCTTCAGATTTGAATAAGAAAGAGACGCCTGAAAATTCGGAAGCATCGGTGGGAACTTCGGAAAGCAGACATGTCTCTGTGGGAAAGCCTCCCGACTCCCCCACGGAAATTGTAAATGAATCTTCACCCAGTGTGAACGAACCTGTTGAAAACGTGCTCTCGTCAGATGTCAACAAGGATGAAGCGGATGCAAAGTCTGAAGCTCTGGTGGACACTTCTGAGAGCATTGGTGGCCTAAATGTCGACCAGATCCATGACTCACAAAAAGAAGTTCCTGGTGAATCTTCATCTGTGAACGATGAATCTGTTCGTTCTTCTGAAATCATCACGGACGAGGCACTCGAGAATTCTGATGCAATGGTTGGCACTTCGGAAAGCCTCGGTGAATCTTCTGCACAAGCCTGTGACTCTCCAAAGGATTCTCCTCCGCGCCTGAGCAAACCAGTTGAAAATGCTCCTCTTTCATCAGAAATCGTCACGGAAGATGCACAAGAAAATATTGCTATTGTGGACACTTCTGAGAACATCGGTGAAACGTCTGCGAAGCCCTCGAACTCGCAAGTGAATATTCCTGATGATTCCAGTTTGAGTGTTGGAGAACCCGTCGAAAATGCTCGCCCTTCAGAAATGAATGAAGTTGAAACACTTGAAAATCCTGAGGCTTTGGTGGACACGTCAGAGAACATTGGCGAATCATCTGGGAATGGGGCTGATTTATCAAACGAAATCCCGAATGAGTCTTCTTCTAATGTAGAGGAAAGTGTCTGTTCGTCGCAAATCAACAGGGATGAAGCATCTGAAAATCGTGACGCTTTTGTCGACACGTCAGAAAACGTCAGTGAAACTTCCGAAAGGGCGTCGGAATCGCTCGAAGAAATCCCAGATAAATCTTCCAATGTAGAGGAACCGGTTGAAGATGTCCGCTCTTCAGTAGCCGATAAAGAAGATGCGCCTGAGAATTCCGAAACTTCGGTGGGCTCTTCGAAAAGCATGGGTGAATCTTCTGAAACGACGTGCGACTCCCAAAAAGAAGGAAAAGAAGAGCCAGTTGAAGATGCCCGCCCTTCAGAAAGCAACAAAGAAGCAGCTCCTGAAAATCCTGACGCTCTAGTGGACACTTCAGGAAACGTTGGTGTATCTTCAAAAGAGGCGTCCGACTCATTGAAAGAAATCCCGGACGAAACGTCTTCCTATGTGGAAGAACCAGTTGCAAATGTGAGGCCTTCAGAAAGCAAGAAAAGTCCGGCGCCTGCGAATCCTGATGCTTTGGTGGACACTTCAGAAAATGCCGGTGACTCGTTAAAAGAAGTCCAGGATGAAACTTCTTCCAATGTAGGAGAATCAGTTGATGACGTCCGCTCTTCAGAAAGTGATGAAGCAGACGTGGTGCCTGAAAATGCCGAAGCGTTGGTAGGCACGTCTGGGAGCATTGAAGAATCTTCTGACGCGCAAAAGGAAATGACGGATAATTGTTCATCAAGCGTGAATAAATCAGGGGACGATTTCCGCTCTTCCCAAATCAACGCGGAGCCACATGGAAATTCTGAAGCTATGGTGGATACTTCGGAAAACGTTGGCGAATCTTGTGAAACCGCATCTGCCTCAGTCGAGAGAATCCCGGATGAAACATCTTCCAGTGCTAATGAACCAGTGGAGGAGAATGTCTGCTCATCACGTATTGACAACAAAGTTGCAGATGAATCGCGGGAAATTGTTCAGTCGTCTCACGCTGATGAAAATTCGGAAGTGGGGAAGGACGCCGAAGCATCTCGGGAAATCGTACAGTCGTCTCACACCAACGAAACTGATGAAGACGCCGCAGAGAAGAAAGATGCAGAAGAACCCTCACCGTCCGAATGTCAGCAGTCGTTGGAATCAGCAGCACAATCCGAAGATGAAGAAAGAATCCCTTCCCCGGGTGCGTCCCGATCGGAAAACTCGAATAATGCAGATGCCAAAGTCGAGTCTTCGGAGGTTGAAGACTCTTCGTCGTGTCGGAATGGTAGCCCGAGTGGAAGCAAAGTCGAGTCTTCAGAAGCTGTGGAAAGTGCTTCTGGGGAACCCGAAGTGAATGTCGAGTCATCCGAAGCCGACGAGTGTTCATTGCCCGAAAATGCAGCGTCTCCCGAGTCTCAAAAGCCCGAAGAGGTTACAGAACAACAAAAGCCTGCTGAACAAAAAGAAGAAAAGTCGTCGTCGTCGTCATCATCATCTGCTGTCGACTCTTCGAGTATTCAAAAGGAAGACGACGAAATGCCGGATATTGTCGAGTCGACGGAAGCCCGCGAAGCCGAGCAAACCTCAGGACAAGAACGCGGCTCCGATTCCGAAGTGGACGTGGAATCATCTGATACTCAGCAGGGCTCGGAAACAGCTGCTCAAGGCCCAGCCAACGTGGCCGACTCCTCAGAAATCTCTCAAACATCGAAATCTCGAGGCCCTGAGGACAAGGTTGATTCCTCTGACGTCGAGCCTGCGGCAAATGCGGAATCTTGTCAGCCCAAGAGTGGCATTGAAGCTGGCGCGGATTCCTCGGAAGTCGCCGAGTCCGGGAATAATGCCGCGGATTCGTCGGAAGTGCAGGAGGAAAGGGAGGATTCTGAGAATCAGCCTTCTGGGGCTGGTGCAGATTCCTCTGACTGTGCTGAAGAACAACACCACCACCATCATCACGACTCTTCACCAGCACCCCAAGTGCAACAGTGTGTTGAATCTACGGGGGCCGAAAAGTCCTCGTCTTCAGAAGGCCAGAATGTCAATGCTGACTCGTCTGAGGCGTCCAAGTCATCTGAGGCCAGTCGGAAAGACGTGGACACTTCGGAGGCCTCGCAGGAGAAGCTGCAAAGCAGTGAAGTATCTGAGTCTGCAGAACCAGTGCCCCCTGCGAAGAATCCCGGTGAATCGGAAGCTGTGGAATCAACAACTGCGAATGGTGATAATAATAACACGACGTCGACGACGAAGAAGATAAATTCATCCCTGTCTCGCAACGGAGATGAAGGCGTTTCCTCTTCGAAAACGGACGCCGCGGGAATAAAGTCGGATGAACAGAACAATGCTGTTGGCAGCTCTGAAGCAGTCGCTGCTGCTCACGTGTCTTGTGATAATTCTGCGTCTTCTTCGGGGTCAACGAATGCCCGAGAAGAGAGTCAAGTGAGCAGCGACACCCTGGAAGTCCGCGTTGAAGGACCAGCTGCAGATGCCATTGATGATCAATCTCACAATCATGATGATGATGATGATGATGAAGAAGAAGATAATAATCGTGTCGATACGGACTTCGCTCTTCGCCACAATCACTTGATGTCGCTGGCCTCGTTCTGGGCTCATCTTCTTAGTCCGAGTGAAGAGTGGGAAACGATGGAGTTCCGCGTGACTGGAGACGGTTCAGGAGTGGATAATGACGTTGGGAATCCCGACGAAGAGACTGAGAATGCGGCAACCGAAGACCTAGTGTCTTTGAAGTCGAAAGAGTGTGACGTTGGTGAAGAGAGCATCGGAGTGGAGGTGAAGAACGGGGATGACGAGGTTGTCGAAAGCATTGGAGTTGATGAAGGCGCCGGGATCGGTGTGAATGGTGTCAGAGGTTGGTGAAACAAAATTTTGCGTACAACATTTAATTTTAAAAAAAAATTCAGTCAAACCCTGTTTAAAAGCTGCCGCCACCGTTGGCAACTTCCAATTTATTTCCGAATGATGAAATCATTTTAAACCCCTTTAAAACGCTATGCGCCCAAATTATTGTCAATTCAAATATGCTGTTGCCAATTGAATTTCATCTTCGATATCGTGCCAATAAGATTCTAGCTTCTGCAAGAGGTTTCCCATGAGAAAAAGAAAACATTAAGCGACTTGAATTATACTTCATGGGAAAATTAGTTAGATATATTTTGCGCATCCCAGGGTTATTTTGATTTTTTCTAGAAAATTAATATTGTATTTCCTTTTATACTTTGTTTTCATCTTATTTTAGTTTTTTTTAACCGCCACAAACCTCACAAACAAATGGTGTTGGCTTTTCGAGGTTTGACTAATTAATTGTCCAATTTTGTTGTTTTCACTTTACGAGCACTCAATTTACTCAGAAAATAAAACGTCTCACTAATTTTTATTCATTTCCGTGTGCTTCTGAAATTGGAGAAAACCCTGATTCTAAAACACACGCATTTCAAATATTGAATTTATCGATGAAAAGCGAAAAGGAAAATAAACTTTTCTACACATGGTTCTAACGCTCAGATTGGCGGATAATGCAGACTTCGATTTGTTTAAAAATAAATTATATTGAACGCACTGTCTGTGTAAATTGAAGCTTGTTGCATGCTTGATGGGAAAACAATGAAAACCTGTCTTTCTTTCATGTATCCGGGATTGGCCTAATAAAACGACGATTGCCCGTTTCAGTTTACAGAGGCCGAGGAAGAGGGCGTGGACGTCGTCGCGGTCGCGGACGAGGAGTGTTCCGGGGCGGTCGTGGCGGCGCATCGGCGACGACGACGGCGAAACCAACCACCCCGGCGAGAGGGGCGACACCTCGTGGTCGAGGCGGACGACGCAGGTCTGTCTTGGGTTTACTCAGGGACTCTTTGACGCCGTCGATTGACGAAAAGTCGGCATCGACGCCGGTGGGAGAGGATAATCAGGCGACATCATCATCATCGACGACGAGGACCAGTCGACGGTTGCAAGTGATTTACCAGCGTCAGGAGCAGGAACGGCGGGAGCAGGAGGCACAGCGGTTGCTCGAGATGAAAACGGCGGCGCAAATGAAGAAACTCAAGCAGGAGGAACGCGAGCAGAAGCGGGCACTGAACCAGTCGGGCCCTTACTCTGCGGCGTCATCGTCGTCGTCGACGGCTGGCGGTTCGTCGTCGTCGTCGGATGATGACGTTGAAGACGGCGGCGGTGCGACGAAGCGGAGACGGTCGAAAGCCTTGCGGGTCGAAGCAGCAGACAGCATTAGTAAGGCGAAGGAGGAGGCGAAGAAGAAGAAGAGGAAGAAGAAGCGGAGGCGGCGGAAGGGCAAGAAAGGCGGCGCTGTGCCCTGGGACTCGCAGTCGTCGACGACGTCGGCCTCGTCGTCAGTTGCAGATGAAGAAGATGATGACGAGCGGCTCGTGTTCAAGTCGGACCACGAGTTCTCCTGCGAGAGTGACGGCGAGGAAGAAGGGGAATCCATCCTGAGTGCCAGGAAAATCGCGAGAACGGTTCGCCTTGAGTTTTTCGCTTGCTTTAATCCCGTTTTTATTTTTTCTCTCAAATTATTCTTGAAAGTGTGAAAATTTAAAATTTTCTATTGAAAAATCTGCAAATTTTCATCAATTTCTCTAAAAATCTTGGGTGTCAATTTGTATTCACCAACTTGGTAAATACCATAATAGAAGTCTAAAAATACTTGATTGACACAAAATCGGTAATATACAGTAGTGTGCAAAACAATTTAAGGGTTTTTTGTATCGTTGAACTTCACAGGTGAAGCAAGAAGAGGAGGCGCTGTGCAAAAAGTGTAGTCGCGGGGATCATCCCGAGTGGATCCTTCTGTGCGATGACTGCGACGACGGCTACCACGCTGCGTGTCTCCGTCCTGCTTTGATGCTTATCCCGGAGGGCAACTGGTTCTGTCCGCAATGTGAACACAAGAAATTGGTGGCGAACCTCGAGCATAGTCTGGAGCAGCTCAGAATCAGGTGACTTGATGGGGTTTATGTATTATGTTTATCTGAAAATTTTAAAAATTTATAATAATAATAATAGCAAAATGGGTTCAAGTTGAATTTTATGAGAAGCAGCTCTTTCCGCTTTGTTTATCCAACTATTCTCTGTAGGGAAAACACAGTTTCATTGTCTGTTTCATTTGCTGCAGGCAAAAGGATTACATCGTGCAACTGGAAACCAAAAGGAAAGAAGAGGAAGAAGCGCTGTTGGCTCGGGCAGACGCAGTTAACGAGGATATGGTGGAAGGTGACGACGAAGCCGTTTATGCCTACCGGGAAAAGAAGAAGAAAAGCAGATTGTGGCGGGAAAGAGAAGATTCCGACTTTTCCGGTGAGCCGACTTTTCCGTATTTTTTCAGTTTTTTTTTTCTTTTTTTTCCTGTTGAGAATGAAAAATGTCGTTCGTAATTTTGCTGTTGCATTGAAAATTAAAGTGAATGGATGTTGGCTATGTTGCAGAGGATGACGGCTTAGATCGTAGAAGACGGCGAAGGATGAGCGAAGATGATGATGAAGAGGAGGATGACGACGACGACGTGGAGGATGAAGATGCGCCTGTTTATGCGTTCAGGGCGAGAGCGTCTGCTGCCAAAGTGTCTTATCTTTACGACGATTTCGACGAAACCATCAACTCCGCCATCCAAGTTCGTCCTTTTTTTGTTGTCTGGAATCTGGTTACTCGGTTGTACGACCGTCGATGTTGTCTTTTTTGTTTTTGTTTTATGAGTCGAGCCTGTGGAGATTGTTTTTTTTTTTTTTCTTGGGAAAATTTATATTCGAGGTTACTGTTTTCTTCTGACTTTGGACTTGAGTGTTGATTCGAGAAGAAAGTACGGTACTCAACCTGTAACTGTCCTTTTCACTTGTGACTTGCAGGACGATTTGGATGCGAAACGAGCCGCTCCGAAAAGTGCGGGCGGGAAGAACATGGACAATATTTTGAAGGCGCAGCAGGACGAAGACGAGGAAGATTTGGTCAAGAAGCAGAACAAGGAGGCCAAGCTGCGGAAGGAGACGGACGAGGAAGAGGAAGACGAGGACGAAACCGCGGACGAGCCAGAACGCAAAGGCCGCCGCGGAAGCAGAGTGAAGGGAGACGGGGAAGACGGCGGCGAGGATGAAGACGAGGAGGAAATGCTGGGCGTCGAAGGTGACGACGAGGCCAGAGCCGCCGTGGTGAGGAGGAGGAAGAAGCGGAAGCTGACGAGTCTGGACGAGAGCGATTCTCCCGACGACGAGGACGAGGATGACGAAGATTTCCACGGCTCCTCTGACGTTGGTTCCTTTGCTATTTTTCCGTATAAACCATTGTGCTCTTCTGCCGTTGACTAAATTTTGCCAAGTAAATTTAGGAAAGTTCAAGTCAGCCATTTTAATGCTATGTGTGTTCGTGGGATTTTTCTGTAATGTTTTTTGGTTTTCTCTGATTTTTTTAATGGTTTCTGGCCTTTTGTAAGGGGAAAAATGCCGTTTCTTCCAGGTTTTTTTTTTTTTTTTCGTTATGGTGTTTGCTTAGTTTCAAAAATATGGGTGTTGTTGAAGATAGAGGCGACATCTGTCTGCCGTTCTATAAACTTGTATTGTTATCAGATTCGAAGGAAGTACAGTACTGTACAGTAATTGCAAACTGGATCTTGCGCAGAATGAAGAAGAATACGCCGAGGAAGACGACGAAGAGGAGGAAGAAGATGATTCAGATGCGGAATACGGCGGCGGCCGGAACCGATCTGCTGGTCGACGTCGATCGGGGCGATCCGCCACTTCCTCTGCCCGCAAGCGTCAGTACAACGAAGACGGGGATGACGATGACGACGACGACTATGAGGACGATTTCTCCAGGCGCGGCTCGGCGGCTAAGCGACGCAAGCCGGCGCAGAAACGACCCGTCCCTGCCAAGAGTCGGAGACGGGCCCACGTTTGGTCGGACGAAGACGAAGAGAGCGACGCGTCGTGGGGCCGGAAGAAGTCGAGAAAGTGAGGGGTTCTGGCTGAACATTCAATTCATTTCCCTTTATCTAAACTGGAGAATGTTAACGGTTTACGTTTTGAGTAAGTTCGATCTGCCTCCACGTGCGTAGGCTACTATTTGATGACGAGAGATGTTCAGGGCTTTAGGCGACACCTGTCTGATAATCGCTGAATGTACATAAATAATCCTGATTCGCCAAAATTGGGCGTTAGAAGAAAAAAAAAAAGAAAAGAAAACTGATAACGTGTGGTACACCGAAAAAATAAGTAAATTGACTTTCCGAGTTTTCTTTTCGAGCTAGGGTTGAGAAGTACTACCATCGGCAAAATCAATATTATCCTTGTTTGTAACTCGACTTTCAATTTCACAGATCGACGACTCCGGTAGTTAAGAAGAAGAAAAATATTCCCGTCAAGAAAACGGGCTCGAAAAAAGCGGTAAGATTTCCAATGCGTGGAATTCCTCATTCCCCGTAGTTCATTATTTTTCTTGTCCTCTCACTTTCAGGCCATGAGGAAAGAATTGCAGCAATTGGATGACGGCGAAGGATCCCGTGGAAGACGAACTCGGGGCAGGAAGATCAACTACAGGGTGTTGCTTGGCTCTGACGAAAGCGATCCTGAGGTTTGTGCGCTAAAGTACTGTAATACTGTAACTCCGAAAAAAAAATCTTGATTCGAGATTCGTGGATGGCCTTGATCAGTTCCTGTGGAAATTCCGTCGTCCGAAATGTTATTACAGAGCGCAGTAAAGTATAATTATTTCTTCGTGTAAAATAACTGATCCTCTCCAAATTGCGGTAAAATTCCCACAATAAATTCCCGAATATGTCACTAAGGAAATTGGTTTTCCGCGTAGAATTACGACAAATATACTCTGGAATATTAAAACCGTGTTCAAAACGATCACAGGAATTGAAACGATAAACAGTAATCCTATCCTTTGGAAAAGAACACTTGGGTTTGAAAGCCAGCCACCTTTTTCCCTTGTTTTGCCACTTTTAGGAGCGTAAAGGGAATCAGATGCCCGACAGCGACGAAGAAATCTTCCAGCCAGAGAAGGAAGACGATGAGGATGAAGACGAGGAAGAAGAAGGGGGAGGAGAAGCCGAGGGTCAAGGTGAGGAAGAGGACGAAGATGAAGAGGAGGAGGAGGAAGAAGAAGAAGCTGCATCTTCCCGCTTGGCCAAGATGCGCAAAAGTGCGCCGAAGCTGCCGGCCAACAAGCACGAGGAGATTCGACAACGACTCGCTGCTCAGTTCTCGAAAGGGAGTTCCTCCACCTCCTCCACGCCGTTGAAAGGAGGGACGCCGTCCGTCCTGTCCACTGCGAACACTTCGTCCACTGCGAAGGCGGCTGCTGCTGGTAAAAGCTCTGTCGGGAAACGTGGTGTCGTCGCTGCTGCTTTGGATGACGACGATGATGAAGATGTCGAGGACGAAGAAAGTGGCAGCGGTGACGAGGATGAAGACGACGACGACGATGAAGAAGAAGAAGAAGATGCGGAGGACGGAGCAGAGGGAGCCATGAACAGCGACGAGGACATGAATTCCATCCCGCTCAAGTCGTCGGATGGGACGTTGAAGACGGGTGCGGCGACGGCAGTGGCGTCGTCTTCTTTGCCGAGTGCCATCCGCAGCCGGGGCCCAGACGTGGCGGGTTCTGCTGATGGTCATCAGTCGCCTCAGCACCCGCAGCAGGGCCATCATCACCAGCAGCAGGCGCCGCCGCCGCCGCCTGGAATTCCCAGAACTGCACACGAAGGCAGTCCCGCACCGCCTCAACAGATGGCGCCCGGGGTCAGGCCCGTTTTGGCTCAGCACTTGGTGAGTGACATCTGGTTTTACGTGATGTACCCTTTCGGAGGGGGTCAATTCATTGGTGAACCGGGTGTTCTGTGTAGTTTAAAGACGGTCGAATTCGATGAGTCCCCCATCCCCACCAACCATTGAAAGAAAGTCTTGTGCTTGACAGGCTTCTTGATTGATGTGGGACCGTTGGCCAGGAATGAAGTTGGATTTTCCTGAAGCATGCTTTTCAGTTTTTCTCTGCGCTTCTTTTTTTTTCATAGAAAATGTTCGTACGTTGAATGGTGCTATGTCAATTTTCTCCCGTGTGCTGTTCTTTGCGCATTATTTGAAAACTTTGGATAATTGATGGTCACTTTTTGGATGAATCCAATTTGAAGAAAGAGGAATAGTCATTGCTGGAAACCCGCATTTCAGTTCTGCGTAAGCAAGTGTATACGCGAACAACTGCACTCGGCCCTTACACCTTTATGCGTTAATCATGCAGTATTTTTATTCTTTTTATGTGTGTCTGTTAACCAACATTGATTCTCAAGAAGGAGAGTAAACTTGGCTGTCTTGAAGAACCGTTTTTCTTGGATTGTTTGTTTTTGGGTACGCAGCATCACCAACAACAGCAACAGCAGCAGCAACAACAACAACAGCAGCAGCAGCAGCACATGGTAGCAGGTAGCCATCTACAGATGCAGCAGGTGCCTGGGATGCAGGGACAGCAAGTCATGGGGACACATGGCCACCCTCCCCCTGGCCTCCTGCAACGCCAATTGCAACAGCCCTTGCGAATGCCGTCTCCAGTGCACAGCCCCATGCCCCATGCCATGGGGCCAGGCAGTGGGCCAGTGGCCGCCCCGCCGGGTTACCCTCCACAGCAGCAGCAGCAGCAACAACAGCCACCTCCACCGCCGGCATTGCAACAGCGGAGAGACAGTGGTGACTGGGGTGTTGCGAGTGTGGCTGGAATGCCCAGGGTTGGGTATTCGAGCCCAACCCACCAGCAGCAGCAGATGCCCCCTAGTGGACCCAGACCGATGTATCCTGCGAGTGGACTGCATCCAAGGCCCCCTGGGATGCCTCCTCAGCCACCTCCCGGGCACCATGCGGGGGGCTATCCCGTCAGGCCAATGATGAGACCCTCTGGTGAGTTGAGTCAAACCTGCTGTGAAATCCACGAATCGAATCAAATCAATCAGTGAGGGTCATTTGTTGTTTGTCAACCGAGGTGTCGCCTCTATTCTGAATTTGTAGTGTTCATTTTTTCTTTCCTCTCCTGGGTTCATAAATGCACTTGAATTTTTCTCTCATATTTGTCACACTGGCGCTTCATTTTGTCGTTTTCTCCAATTATTCATGACATTATATCCGAGTGATGTACAGTATGTATGCTGTATTTATTGAGCTGATCAGATGAGTAAAATCCTATTACGACGAACTTCAGGACTCACTTCAGGACACCCCAGTTTTGGGGGGACTCAGTTCAGGAAAACTTTTTTCAATGCTGAATAATTTTTATAGCAAGATTTTCAAAATTAACGACTCAAAAATGTTCACGTGAGACCTGCCTATAATCAATTTGATCTTTTTTTTTAGCCTGGTTTGTGCTGAAAAATGTCTTGTAACAAGGTTTTACTGTACAGTATTACCTTACTGTGGTTCTTCGATGTGAAGCCGATTTTTGCATCCCCTTTAAATGATGCTTTTTTACAAACCAAAGAAGCAGTCAATTTCAAGACGATTCCCGATTATTTTACGATTCGCAATTGGAAATGCAACCGAAGGCGACGCCACTGATACATTTATTTGGAACGAAATAAGTTGAGGGACCGCGTATGCGTGCCGTTTTGACTTGGGCGGGGCATTGATGTTTTGCCAGGGCCTGGAAATGCGATGATGGTGCCGCCGCCGGACATGCATCCTCAGCAGCAGCAACACGCACAAGCTGGCCCGCCGCCACCCGCCCAATTGAGGATGCACCACCCGGGTTTGCCGCCCCATGTCCGGTCACCTGTCTACGACAATTACCCGCGTGCCTACGCCGACCCTCGGCCGGGTTACGCCGAAACCCTTGAATCTGGCCCACCGGCTGCAGTTGCTGCATCCCCCGCCGCTGGCGTCTCTGGGCCGCCGCCTCCTCCTCCTCCGCCGCCGCCTGCAGGTGGGCCACCCGAGTATGCAGAGTTGAGTTCGGTTTCCGTTTCTGGGCGGGGAGGAGAAGCGGCGACGGTTCAACAACATCAACATCATCATCACCCGGAGAGTCAAGGGGAAAGCACGGGCGAGTTCGGAGGATTGGTGAGCTATTTTTCATCCCAGATCGCGGAGGGAGAGTGAAGAAGAAAGCCTTGTTCATTTCAACGTTTATTTTATTTATTTATTTTTTGTGTCCATTTTTGTGTGTGTGTGTGTTGTTTTTTGTTTTGTTTTTTTTTTATTCATCGTTGACGTTGATGCCAATGTTTTTGTTTCGCGTTTTTGAATCATTTCATGTATTTCACTTTATTTAAGAAAAAAGCATTGATTACCGTATTCGCGCGAATTGGTTCCCTTATTTTAGTCACATTTTATGTGGAGTTCTCTTACTGGTGAAAGTCTAAATTATTGACTCTGCGGTGTTTCAACCACTGGAAAGATTAGTTGGAAGCGTGATCTGAACAAAAACCCAAGAATCTGCCAATTAATTCGAATCGAGGAAGTTGTATAATTTTTCTATTGATGGCCTCGTCATCGAAATTTTGGATTGTGACGTAATTTCAATTAAAAGGTCAATATAGAGTTATTTCGCGGCATGTTCATTACCATTTTTTGGGAAAGTGAGACGATGCGTCTCGATTTTTTTTTCATAAGAATTTATTCATTTTTGACAAATTCAAGTGGATCTTAAGGTCTTGTGGATTCGCACGAATACGGTATTTTATCTTGTAGTGCGACTTCCTGCGTTGGGGGTTCTTTCTTTTTTTTTCTCTCGACGGCTCAGGACAAATTCATCTCACTGACTTATTTGTCAGCGCAAAAGGTGAAGAATTGTTTGGCAGCATTTCGACGACCATCCTTGACTATAATCCATTATCGTTTCAACTGCAGTTTTTTTTTTTTTTTTGGTTGATGAAAAGAAAAGTCCCAGTACTGTATCAGTGGTTGTTGAAAAGAAAGGTTAATTTTGGTTTTGTTTTCGGTTTCAGCGTTTGTGAACTTTGAACATGATGATGATTTGATTATTTGAATGAATGAATGTTGGCTGCAAAGGCCCTTTTTTTTGTAAGACAAGCAAGAAAAAGAAAACATGGGAGGGAAGGAGATAGCTTTATTGCTGCCCTGCTGTGTGGGGGTTTTTTTGATCTCAAAGAGTGTTATTTTTTTCGTGAAGAAAAGAAAATTGTGGATGAACAAATTCTCTCTCTCTTTTCCTCCTACTTCGTCCCCTTTCCCCCCAAACTTGCCTCTCCCTCCTCCTCCTCCTCCGTCAGAAAGTGATGTAATGATGTTGTTCATGAGAGAAAGATTTTTGTTCCATGATTTGTAAGTGCGTGGATGTGTATGTTGTGATTGAATTTTTGCTGCTGCTGACGAAAAAAAAAAAAAAAGAGTCGTCTTGTTTGTTTGTGCGGGGAGAGAAGAAAAGAACAGGACTACGAGCTCGTGCTTCATGTTTCACATGCGTTTTTCTTGTCAGCTGAAAACGAGATCCGTTTCTTGTTGGCGATGAAGAAAGTTGCCAAGTAAATTGTTGTTTGCAGGGTTCCCAGGATCTGAAGAAAATGAGAGACATTATTACAGTGACTGACTGACTGACTGGGATTTCATCGAGGCACGGCAGATTTGTCTTTTTTTTTTACCCAAGCGAACATTTTCGTGGAGTAGCCGAACTCTTTGAAGTCGTGTCCGGTGTTTCTTGAACTCAGCCAGATGCCATAAGTGAAATCGGAAATGAAAATGGTGCAGAAAGAAACTCCCTCAAAAACACTTGCCTGTTGAAAAAAACGAGAAAATATTAATCGGTGTTTTGCGGTTGATTTTTGAAAAAAAAAGTATATTTTTGTTTTGTAATGCCTATATATTTAATTTGAGCGACGGGTGTCAAGCAAGACTTTCACATCAATTTTTGGGGCCGAATTTTCAACAACAAAAAACCTATCCCTGCATAAGACCTGAATCCCAATTTTTTTTTACACAGAAAAGTTATTTTTTCCGAAATGAACAAATCAATAAAATAACCAAGAGCCTTGAAAGATGACTGGTGCCAAGTAAATTTTCACATCACGGGACAGTCTTTTCTGGAGTATTGCATTGCATGTAATATGTTGGAACATAGACAAAGGCTGATTTATTATTATACTGTGTGAATTATCTGCCAAGTGAAGGAGTGCTGTATAATTATTGTGGCTGGAAGTAAATAGGGAAATTGATCTCACAAACAATGTGGTAGGGAGTGTGGCAGCTGTGTGGAGGCAAAGTGTAGAGGAAGTGAAGGTGGCCAATGACCCGAGCCAGGCTGTCACCACTGCCATGAGGAACAATGCTTCTGGCAATAAGGCTGCCAAGGAGCTTCTCCCATGTCTCTTGAAATGACATCCGATGCAGATCATAATGAGACTGCCAACAACCTGCGTTGACACAATGTGTTTCATCATCTGGAATGTGCCTTTCACTGTGCATGGCTATTGAGCAGATACAATACTGTATATGCTTCACACAATACTGTACTATATAGAAAATAGACAACTGTCTCACCAATTGAGCACCTTTCAGAATGCCAGACTTTGACCTGAGATACCCAGTGTTGATTGCAACTGTTCTGACATCACTGTTCACAGAATCAGACATACTGCTGCTGTTTAATCACAATCATGGACACTTGGGGTGAATTTTGCAGTTGAGCTTTTGCTTATCCAAACCAAGGAACCACGCCTATAGCCTATGTTTATCACGCAGGCCGCACCTCGTGTCTGCCTTCCAAAATAGAACAGACACCATGGGAAGGAAACCAACTGATTAGGTGGAGGAATAAAGAGAGGAGAAAACAAACCTGGCAAAAAGCCAGTGCGTTGTGGGGGGATGGAGAAGGAAACAATCTTGCTAAGAAACCGTGCAGGACTGAAACAGCTGGTATACACCCTCATAAGTTTACCAAGAACTGATTTTAAGCTACACACTGTGCACTGAAGGGTGGGACTCATAAAAATGTTCTTAATTAGGAGCTACAGAAATTTAATGCATTTTCTTTCAGCAGTCAAACCTCTGGAAGTTGAACTGCAAGGGACCAGCAAGAAAAATTTAGTTTGGGAAGCAAGCATTTGTTGGGGGGGGGGGGGTAGGAAGAAAGAAATATTGCAGACGAATGTAACTGGTGATGATCTGGGCCTTCAATTGATGCATGAATGAGATGACAGGAGATCCTGAACTTGTACACAATGGTTCATTTCCAATATTACTCTTTCACTGAGCTTAAAAATGCATCAAGTTACATTTTTATTGCTTTATTATTTCCGGTGTCAATAAAATTTTTGCCACACGGCCTCCAGAAAATTCCAGTTATGCAGGGTTGAAAGGGAAACCCTCCAGGAACAGTTTTCTTGTCCCAATTAGGCATACCCCTACTAAAAGAATTTCTTCAATTGGATTATTAGTTTTGAGGACAACCAAGTAAAGTAAAAAAGCACAGGCAGTCATTCATCATACCTTATGTCATATGTACCTATTAGTTATACAGTAATGCCAATCACATACAGTAGTATCACTTTCAGGAAAGTGAACACCAAAATTAGCACTGCCAATAAAAACAAATTTCGCAGAAAAAACATTTAAATACATGTATTTAAGTTTCTTCAAGGCAATTCAATTCCACAAACGTGCTCCTTCCAGATGGTAAAAATCACTTTCACCCAGGAATTTCTTCCAAATCCCTGTCAAACAATCCGAATTTCAAAAATGTTTTGTACAAAGTCCGAATTCAGAAAAAAAAAACACGCGGACTTGAAAGCATCGTCATAATGTAAGAACATGGTCCATCCAAACTTATTTCCTCGTCAAGCTCAAGCCTCCCCAAAAACCACACAAAAAATGGCAGCATTCTTTTTCATTTGAGCTCATTTCTAGTTGCGTTTCGTTATTTAAAAAAAAAAACCAAAAACAAGAGATTCATTCTGTTCACAACATGGCGGCTTCGTTGGGACGTTTCATTCATGGAAAATGTTTTTGGCATCAATAAATAAATAAACCTTCCGGTTTGTCTCGGTGATGAGCCACACACATTCCCTTCAAATGCGTCACTTCAAAACGAATAATACCTTCTTCACACGAATATAAGACGCCATGATGCGCTTCATTTCCCTCATTCACTCAACGTGAAATGAAATGACTTGAAAAGCTCGAGAAATTCTTGTCGCAAAATAACCCAGAAAACCAATAAAGCAGAAAAACTTGGAATTCGCACCAATTTGCATGCAAATTTGTAATACTGTATCATTAAAAAAAAATGAATGCACTGAAATGACCAAATCTAGATCTTCCCTTCCGTTCTTGTTTGAATAGCAATCAACACTAGAACTAAGCTTCCAAAAGGCATTTTTTAGACCTTGTAATTTCCATTTTTCCGTTCTCCATTCAGATCTCGATTTGTTCGAAGATACGGGAAGCCATAGAATTACCAGCAGATTTTTGCATCACCCAATAAATTTACGTTTATTTCGCTAATCCGAAAACTGGGGGAAATGCGTCCTATATTCGCGTAAATATGGTCATTTCTGCGTTCCCTCGAGTTTCTTTAATTAATAAAAAAAAAGCTTCACCGAAACAAACCGAAAGGGGAAAAAAATCAACCAAAAAGATTACCAACAAAGAAAACCACCGAATCATCAACGGTCCTCTTGATCATAACGACTCCTCCTCAATCGCAGAAAAAAAGCATACAGATTTAACTCGAACGAACAAAAAAATAATAATCAATCAAATAAAAGGAGATCACAAAACAGTCACTGGTCGCTGGTCATTCATCGTAGCAGCCAGGATGGACGGTGGGATCCAATGCTGTTGCTGTTGTTGTTGTTGTTGCTGCTGCTGTCGTTGATGTTGCTGTTGTTGATGTTGCATCATCATCTGTTGCTGTTGTTGTTGTTCTTGCTGCTGCTGTTGTTGTTGTTGCACGTGTTGGTCGTGATCATGATGGGGATGGGCATGATGATGATGGCGTCTCGGTGGCGGCAGCTGCTGCTGCTGCTCTTCACTCACTTGTCGCGAGTCGTTGCTTCGCTGGCGAGAGTGCAAACTCGCTCTCCTCGGCTGCTCGATGTTGGAGTCGGGCGAGCCGCGGTTCAAGTTGTTCATGGCGTAGGCCGCCGTGGAAGTCGTCGTCATCATCATCAGCGTGGACCCGCCGTCACCAGGCATCGGCGGCACGGGCAACGGTCCACAGCCCGACCGTCCGCAATTCAGTCTCTTGCCCATGCTCATGGCTACAACAATGAAAAGACGAGGAAATGGTCATCAGGCATGCAATGATTCGTTGGATCCATCATAATCATTTTTCACGACGGCAATACAGTATAAAAAGGATATAAGCGGCCGAATCCCAACTAGAAAACTCACATCGCGTGTCCAGGGCCCTGTCCTCGGGGATGCTCTGAATGTTCCTCACGATGCCCGCGTCCAGACTCTGGCCCTGTCGCGGGTGATGCAGCAGCGGCCTGCCATCGCTGTAGTAGGACACGGAGGCCGACGAAGACGACGGCACGCTCAGGTTGCTGCCGTCGGATCTGTCCCGCGAGTGCGCTGCTGCTGCTACTGCTGCAGCTCCTACTCCTCCACTCCTCCGCTGCTGCCTGCCACTACTGCTCACCGCCTCCGTCAGCAGATTGTTGTGCTGGGGAAAAATCAGAATTAATAAAACAAGCAGGTTTAACCAGGTTTAAGAAAACAATATACAGTAAATAAATTATCTTTCCACTGAAAAGCCTAAATATCCAGGTCTGTAATCTCGTTCGTTTCCGGATACAATTGGGTAATCGCCTAAAATTGTGATGCGTTCAAGACACATTAAATTGCACTGAAACTGGCTTTTGCTTAAATTAATTTTACATGAGCCGCAGATTTTTATACAGTAAATTTTGTCTTCACCGTTTCAACACGTTATATCCGTTCAAGTACAGTACTGCACATTATTCATGAAGCAAAATGTGGAATGGATGAAGTTCATTAAACAAGACGTCACTGCCAGTACACCTGGTAGCAAAAAACGTTTGGGGACTTCAGAAGAAGTTTGTTTCACTGAATAATTTGTCATAGCACGATTTTCAAAATACTGTATCAAGGAATGGAAAAAAAGGTTCACAACAGACCTTCCTGTACAATCAATTATATCTGGCATTCTCTTATTTTTCATTATTGCTCGAAAAACTGAGTGATCGTCCGTAAATTGCACCACCAGTCTCTCCATGCTGTGAGGTCTGTCTTCATCGTGGGAAAATGAGAAAAGGGTTTGTTAAACTTGACATATTTTTTTTTTGGTAACGACATTTCACTGCATCAGGTTGGACTTTAGACAGACAGGACTGAACACGGGATATAAATTGGAAAATTCCGTCATAAACACAAAACATCATCATTCATCACTGTCCCCGCTATATACTCACCGGGTGGTGGTCCCTGCCGTTGTGCTCAATCTCCGCATAAATCCTGCTCGCGTCCGTGTTAAGCTCCAGCTCCATGTAGGTGTGGTTGCCGGGACTCTGGGCCCGCAACGCGGACACGGCCGCCTGGTGCGTCGACGACGACGACGACGAGTGCAGGGCTGCCGTCGACGTCGACGTGCTCGACAACAGGAGTTGATCCCCCATGTTGCAATACGGCTGCGGGCAGCGGGGACACACGGTCGACGAGAAGTTCTTGAGCGTCGTGATGTAGTAGTTCATCCCGGGCTCCGTCCCGTGGTCCACCCGCGTCTCCAGCATCCCATTCTCTCCCCGTTTTCGTCGCTGGCGAGAAGAAAAATCAATCAATCAATCAACATTGGGCATCATGATCAATGCATTCCCATGAACAAGACAGCAGAGGAATAAGTGACTCGAAACAGCTTTGTCGAGCGTCTTGGTTCCCTCTCACTTGGACGTGTCCCCCAATTTTCAATTACTGTATTACAGTACTGTACTTGATCAATCTAAGACATCTTTTCATAAATTCGTCAGCGTTCTCTAAGTACCAAACGAACACATTTTGTATTCCTTTCAACAAATATTTTCAACGTTACTGTCCCAAATCTCTGCTAATTGTCGTATTTACTAGAGTAAGACGCGCATCTCCTGTTTTTTGCATAGCATTTGTTTAAAAAAAAAGTCCCCATGTATGACGCGCACTCAAGTTTTTGCTACCTTGAGATATTCATTTCTTCTTCAAATTATTGTGTTTAATTTATTAATCACGCGAATAATTGGAATAACGTGAAGCATTGCAGAAGGATAAGTATTATTTATGAGTTCCCTGTTCATAATTTTCTCCTAAAAAGACTTTCTTATAATCATTGCCACCGATTTCTTGATTTTCTCATTTCAATAATTTTTTTAAACTACCCCACTTTTTTGTTTGTTTTGTAAAAAAAAAGAAAAAGGTTGCGCGTGATACTCTGATAAAATACAGATATTGTGTTTCAAGGGTAAGCGTAATGCGTTTATTCGTGTGAAGAAAGTTGCTCAAGTCAGGTTCAAAAAAGTACTGCATTTTGAAAAGAAACAAGAGAAGCATTCCAAAAACATTGGATTGGACTCTCACTTCATCGCCAGCGGGCCCGCCGTCGGCCCTCCTGGCCGCCGCCTCTTCCTGCTCCTCCGCACTGCCGCCTGCGGTCTTCTTGGCCCCGCAACACCATCGCCTACACCTGACTTGACAGTCCCCAAACTGCTTCTCGCCCAACACAACCACTCCCAGCACGCCAACCAGGCCCAGGCCGACAGCAGCCAGGGCGTAGGAGATCCTCAGCCAACTCATGGTCGTCCCCGACAGGGTGCCCTCCGACACCGACAACAGGGCCATGGTCCAGCACACAGTCAGCACTGTGGCAAAGCCCGCCGACCACGCTATCCACTTCCGAGTCTGCGCAATCACGGCAGACGTGTTGAGGTCGGCCGCAGTGATCCTGTCCGCAGGGGGCTGGGATCTGGTCAACGTGTGCGACCTGGGCAGGGATGCAGAGGTTCTGGACGACAGCAGGAGTGCCATCAGGACAACGACGACTGTGGCCTGAAAATAAAAGAAAGACATTTAATCAAACACAAAGCTTTCCATCCTCATCGACATTAGAGGGGGAACAGATGGAGGGAGAGCGTGGGTAGATTAGTTAAAAACTCTCGTCAGCCTCGCACGACTCTTGCAAGAATTTCAATCTTACATTACAATTTTCGATCCTTTCTTTTTTTCTTCATCAAAGTCGAAGGTGAAAAAAATAATAATTGGGGAGAAGACACAAGTTGAACGTTCGACTAATCCTAGACAAAATTGAGGTGTTTCTCACCCAGAAAAACACTGAAACAGAAATATTTTCAGAGACAGTCAATTTTTTGAAAAATATTTTCAAAAAATAACGGGATTAGTTCAACTGTTGAAACCTTTTTCCAATAAGATAAGTACATTTCAGGTACTATATTTGGAATCCTGGAAACTGCCGTGTTCGTTATACAGTACTGCACGTCGGTATCGTCCCGAGGTGTCAATTGACGAAAAAAGAAAAATCCCACAAGCCGCGCTTGAACAAAGAACTTCACCAAGAGGGTCATTTTCAGCACTACCTTCATTCCAATGATGAAGATTCCCACAAGTTCGAAATACAGGATTATGATCGATTGAAGCTGAGGCGACAACATAATTCGATAAAATGATATACAGTACATTTTTTCCTGGCTTCAAAAATACTCAACCCTGGTTAAAACGGATGCAGACAGCTGAACCAACCAACAAAGGCAAAAAAAAGAAAGAAAGAAAGAAACTCACCACAATGAGCACCAAAACGGGTCCAGCGAAGGACAGCAGGGAAAGCAGACCAAACTGGAGCCAGCAAAAGCCCAGGGTTTGGTGGGCATATGCAGCAGGGTCAGCACCAGCAGACGCACACACCACCACCAACGGCAACCCGTACGCACACACGGCATACCAGCGCATTCTCCGCTTCGCATCCAGTCCTGCCAACTCCACCAGCGCCATGTACAAATCAAACTCTGAAATACAAAATAGACAAAGCTTTCCAACGAATTCCTTTTTCACACGTGGCATTCACTGCCATGCCCAGAGAAAGAAATTTGTCTAGATTTTTTTTTTCAGTAGAAAAATACACTCATACAGGTGAAATCTTTCTAAGACGAAATTCAAGTTGTAGAAAACTCACATAATATGGGAACTATATTCATTTTTGCAACAAACAAAATTACTCTTTTTCTCTTCTCCTCCGATGCCAACACTTGTACAGAAGTCATGCTTTTTTCTCTCTCTCAAACAAAAAAAAAATTCATGTTCCCAACAGTACAGATACGGAGAAAAAATTAGCATATCGGTGCTTGATGATGAACAACCTCGTACTGAATTTTACCTTGTATAAAAGTCCACAAGAAGCCGGCGAGGAAAAAGTACTGCGCTGTTCCGGCCAGCAACCCGCACCAGACTCCACCGGACCCGTGGCCTATTCCACCGAGTCCCATGACCAGTGTCCCCACTCCTACACACGCTAGCATATTGCGCCAAATGCCCCAGTCCAGGTCCTTGCCACACGCCGCAGTCAGGGCCCAGGCCACTCCCAGAGCTGCAGCACACGCGTAGCACGCAACAGATGCAGCCCAGTCGGCAAACTTGCGCAATTGCCAGTCCTGGCCCAACTGCTGGGCCAGCGTGTGCTCATCTCCGAGAGTCAAGAGGACGGCAAAGTGGGTCAGGTGCGAGCATTTGCACACTGTGTGCGTCGAATTCTGCACCGACACTCCGCAGCCTTCCTCACTCCACGCACTGGACAAACAAATGAGATTCGATGCAATCAAAGCCAAACCTCGATAAGCCGCCACCTTTTCCTTATGGCGGTTTATGAGGGGGTTCAAGGTTTACCAAAAAAGCTAAAATGATACGAAAATCAAATAAAGAGAACTTGAATTACAGTATCTGCAAACCTGAGCTTTGGAACCATACGTAGAATATTTTATTTTGGCTTTAATTCATAGAAAAAATAATGTTTAAAATGCGCTTGCTTTAGAATCACGGTAATTTTTTTCAATTGCTGAAGCACACAAAAATTGACAAGAACTTATTGATACGTTTTATCCTCTGAATGAATCGAATTCTTACAGAATACAAACAATAAAATTGAACACTAAATTACATTCAAACCGTGATAAGCCACCACTATTGGTTTCTGGTGGTTTCAAGGGAGTTGGTGGTTCGGTTTCCCGAGGTTTTCTAAAGGTTTTCCGAGTATTGTACTTCAACTATTCCAATATCTACACATAGTTCCAAGTTTTTGCTCTCGTAATGAAAACCTTAGGATCCAGCTCCCAAACTCACTGGTTGATGTAGTCCCAAAAGACACACGCTCGTCCAGTCACATTCCTGTCCAGTTGTTCGTCCCAGAGGTTCTTGAAAACTATAGTCACAGGCTCGGCCAATTGCACGTGTCTCCCGACAGCAACACTCGCTGAAACCACGCTCGAGCCCAGCCTGGCTTCACTGGCATTCTCCGGCGCCAAAATCCGCTCCATGTGGGCAATGAGAAAGAACACAACCTGTTCGACGAGTAAATCGAATCCATTAAAAAGAAGCAAGTACTGCACACGAGAAATCAAGGGAGATTTCGATCACTCTCTACACCCATTTCTTTAGAAATAAAAAAATCCATGGGTAATCTGTCTCTGAGCGAATATTTCCACTCGTCACAAGGAATTTCGGCGAACACATCCCCACGTTTGACAAACACTCTTCAATTTCGCGAAGTGAATCGCTTGGAAAAAGAAAAAAAAAAATCATTTCCGCACCTTGGCTGCTGAGCTAGCACCATTCCTCGACCCATACTTCCGCTCCAGGGCCCGTCCAGGGATTCGTATGGAGTTGCCCAGAGCAGAGACTTCCGGCCAGAAGCTCGCCTCTTCCTCCGACGGGAACGTGACGATCGGGAAGTTGTCGGGACGAAGTTTCTGGGCAGACATGAGGATGTTTTCTTGCGACACCAACACGGTTCTGTCTTCCGCGAGTCCATCAGCCAGCACAAACGCATTGTCTTCCAGGGCAAACAGGATTTCCGTCGCTGCCCGACTGCGGAACTCCGACGGAAGGTCGTCCCATGCCTGGGCCTGGTCATGCGACAGTAAATCCGAGCCAATGCCCATTACTTTGGCGATTTCCGTCGACACCTGACAGGGGAAAAAGAAAACGGCCAGAAGGCGTTGTGGATAGGATATACACTATGTATACAGGTAAACGTTCACTCACCACTTTCACATCTTTCCCCATCAGTTTCTGGGCAGTTTCCTTCAGCAGCTTCGCAATAACGAACAAGTCGCCTCCAAAAAGCACTTTAGACTCTGTCACGCTCTTCACTTCATTCAGCGCCGTCTCCAGGTCTTGGTCTTTCGCAAGCTAGGATAAAATAAGATATAATGATATTAATGCAAAATTTGTAAGAAAATGAATTTTTTGCAGGTGTTCTGGGAACAATCCCGGTCTCAAAATCGGAAAACGAACGAATGGCATCAGAACAATTTATGCGAGGTTCTGCAGAAAAAACGTAAAAAATTTTGGGTTCAATTTGAGCACGATTTCTGGGATGGATTACCGAATTTGTTTATGCCTTTTCGTTCTAAAAAATTTTCGAATGAGGCTTGAAACTCTCAAAATAATCTTGTAAGAATAAAATTCAAGAAAAAAAAAATCAATCGAAGTTGAAAAAAGATGGCTCTCGTTCCTGAGAACAAAAAGTATACTCACTCGTTTCAAAGCAAAGTTGAGGTAGAGGGACCGGCATTTGGATAAATCCGGAGACACGGTTTCCCACGCTGGCCCAAAGCACTTCCATCGCGCAGTTTCAGGCGCAGATCCACTGGGACACGTCTGCAACGCCGTGTCACCCGGGGCAGTTCGATTCCAGGTCATGTTCCGAGCGACCTTTGCTTCACACGGCTCACCAACCTTTGAAAAAATATTAAATAAATTAAATGAAAAAGTTCGACAATTTTCCATGTTCTTATCTGCTAAATATGGACTCCACTCATCGCTCTTTCCGGAGGCTTGGAAACGATCAAATAAAATGATACACGAAATAATGTAACCTAACCCTACTTAATCAACGAAAACTAAACCCTATCTCGCGTTACTAGAAAAATTTTCAATTCTCCCCCACATATTCGATTATACCGAATGCAATATCACCGGAGGAAAGTTCTTGGAGTATATTCGAAGAGTTGCCACCGTTGCCAAACATACAGTTGAGAGTGCATCTCAAGCAAACAATAGTTTATCGATGACGAGGAAAAGAACCCACCTTCACTGTAGACGGCGGTCGATTCGAAAACCGCAACGGAAGCTGGTGGATCGGCAATAAATCCTCGTCATCGTCGTCACCACCGGCGTCACTGTCGTCCGCCAAATACTCGCTTTGGTCCCCGGCATCGGTTTGGGTCATCATCAGTTCTCTTCCACCAACCACAGCTAAACACAACCACCAGAGTCATCATTAACAACCAGCAAAAACTTTTTCATTTTACAACAGTCGACTAAGCACTCCAACTTTCGTCACGTGACGTGAATGAAAAATCAATAAATTGTCCAATAGCATTTTTGGGACTGAAAATAACCAAACAGAAATGGTCAGTAAGACCATAGTGAGAACTGACTTTAGTAATTCAATTGACAGAGGTTGCGGGTTCGATACACCAACTTTTTATATTGCGTTGAGATCTCATCAAGGATAATGATGCATCTGACTCAACAACAATACAGTATAATCTCAATGCTATTGAATACGGTTAATCACTTTCATTACAACTGAAAATGAAAACATTAATCCTCAGATCTCCCGAAAAACTCACATTCTTCTGAATTCATAGAAACTATCGTCGTGCTCGTCACGTTCATTTCCTGTTCAATCGACACCACTGTCGTAGAAGTAGTCGTCAAATTCGCTCGCTCAACAACTGCGAAAAGTTCACACACACACGCGTCTTCAACTGTAGTTTTCCGAAGGAAAATGACCTCTAAGTACACTCCAACCTGAACCCAGTCACCGTGAACGAAAGCCTCCACCGAAGAACATCCCACTCACTATATTTTTACCTGGTAGACATTGGTAATGTGCTTCGAGGTATTTCCTTGTCCCGGGACAAGGATCCCCGAAAAGCGTTTCATCAGCGAAAACCTCGCACTTTTGCTTACTGCTGCATCTGTAAGAAGACGAAGAGTGTTAAAGGCACATCTCATTAACAAATTCAAGAAGTGACTTACCGGGAATGCAACACGCGGAGAGATCGGTGCGACATGCAGTCCGTCGACCAGGTGGGAACACCTTCTTCGTTGCATCTTTGAATGGAGAAACGGCCGAAATTTGAGCGTAATAGATTGATCACGTGGCCCTCTTCGCAACCGATGTTGAGTAAGGTTCCTTGGCATGCGTATCCATTGTGATATCGAGGAGCTTTCCCTGTGCACACAAGCGCAGCTTTCACTCAAAAATTCCTCATACATTGGGTCGGCTTCGGTACTCACCAGAAGAAGTTTGGAGTAGAACTTGAGTCGCGAAGAGAATCAGCGCAGCTCTGTTCCGCTTCATGATGAGCGTAGACCACCACAACTTCAAGGACTAAGAGAAAACATTTTACGTCACACGTGCATAATCACTCAATAGCCAAAGACTTACGTAAGAAACTTATCACACATAATCGCTGTCATTCTGGCTCGGTACATCAGAGGATTTGATCGCGCATCCCACATTGCACGACGCGCACATTCACAACCTGTGCAATTCCGAAATCCATCAACTCAATCTTACTGCGGTACAATCTTAGAGCGACCGACACATTGTCGTTTATCTCACGGCATTCTATCAACAAGCATAAATAACGCACTGATTTCTGAATCACGTATCAATAGAGAAACTGAAACATACACATCAACATGTGTCCTACTTCCCGAATTCTTCGGGACTAACAATCAAGAAGGCAGACATATTAAATGCCAGAGAATTTTTTGAGTGACTTTGAAGTCTAACTGAAAGTCAAAAGATCATCCATCAGAGGAATGTCAAATGCCCTTTTATTTATTAAAGACAGAGCCCCAAATACCGAACCCTTGACCGTAAAATACCCGCATTGCTGCAAAATTTTGATAAAATACACTCCTTGACAGTGGCTTTTCAGCGCATACTTCTCCGGGACTGATTTTCTAATGAAACCAAGAAGTGAACTCACTCAATCATATCATGCACAGTTCGCTTTCGTGCAGCATCTCAGAGCAATCCATTCACAAGGAATGCAATTCGGTTTACAGTGTTCATAAAAATTAAATACTGTACAGTACTGTACTGTGCTGCATCATTATTGTATTTTTTTGCTGCTCAAACCCTGCAGCAATTTTTTCCCTGGTGAGACGTCATTGGAAAAAGAGCATGAAATCACTTGTGTACTTGAATCATTTTCTGCCAGGCAGTAATAAGTTTCTATATGCACAAGGTCATTCAGAAATTCTGAAAGAAAGAAAATAACACACACACACACACACACAACACAGCGGACTTCCGCTAAAATTTCAGCTCATTAAGAAAGTTGTTGACGCTATTTTAAGCAGTAACACATGTTAACTTTCACATTGCTTCATAAATTACGTCTTCAACTCCGGCTTTACTCTTAAATAATGTCTTATCGAAATTTCAACTGCCCTCCTGCTGCATGGGGGCATTCAGAAAATCCTGTACGTGGAGTGTGCATGTACACTATACTACAGTATATGTACGCATGACATATGTCATTGCCCTCTTATTTGGGAAACATATTCCACAATTCACTTGAGAACGAGTGCATGTGTTAATTATTGATGCTGTCCTACAGTAAAATCAAATAATAATTTCCTAAAGCAGCATTCACATCACGGTGCATAATAAAATCCTTGCGCTGGCAACAGCCCATATACTTGGGCCCACTCACAACAATTAAAAATAGCTATTATGAAATGAAGCTCATCGGAATTCCCAGTAATTGCGACAAAACTTTGAGTACATGCGCGATTTCTGATCATGCGTCAAAAACGACACACCCACGCTTCATTGAATTAGAAAGCATGGGGTTTCACAACGCACATCAGGTGTATTGAACTTACGTTTTTCCCACAGTGATAATACTTAACCTCAATTCTCAAGGAGTATTTTAAATTTTGTAGGAAAACTATCCAGCTTACTCCATCAGTTGCTTCTCCACTGGCACCATGAACAATAAGTCACTCATCCTTGGGAGCCTGTTTGCTCTTGCTTTCAGCTTGGGTGGGCAATTTGCCTTTTTCTCACATTTATAAATATGTCTTAATTAAATGGAAGACAATTTTCGCTTTCTTTTTTTTGTCCACATTATTATTTTTATTATTACAGGAAGTGCATCATCCATCTTCTCAAAGAGTCACAAGCAAGATGGAACATGTGCTGGGATTTGTGACACTCAGGGGGTGCATCCAGACTGGCCATGTCAGTGCAACGTCTTTTGTGTACAGTTTGGGGACTGTTGTCCAGACTATGAGACTGCTTGTCTCAGTTGTGCAGACAGGTGCAACAGTGCTTTCAATGCAAACTTGCCCTGCCAATGCACAACACAGTGCCAGAACTTCAATGACTGTTGTGCAGACTATGGTGATGTCTGTGATGGTGGACAACCAGAACCTGGGACTGGTGAGTTAATTTACAATGCAACTAAATATAGATTTCCAAGTATATGATCCAGCAGTCTGGTGGATATGCATTGCATCTGGACAATCAATTTAAACTTGGACACATGATTATAATACTATAGAGTACAAATGAACAGCAGTTGCTCAAAGGATGAATATATAATCAAAATTTCAGCAATAGCAGAAATATATAACCCTGCTGCTCATTATTCTTATTGGGACATTGGCCAATTCAACTTGAATAAATATGAGGGGTTTCTGTTATTTGTTTTACAGTAACCAATGCAGAGATCATCCAACTGGTGGATGACATGTCTGCAGTGGACTTCAACAACATGGCTTCTGGTATCACCTTTGATCTCCAATCCTCAACCACTGGAAGTGATACTTCCCCAAATCCGTCAGTATACATTCAACTGTGTAATTCTTTCTCTATACACTGCATTATTTAATGCTGCCCAAACATAAATTTTTATTGTCATGTGTTTTCTTTCTTCAGATTGTTCCCTGAGGAGATTCCTGAAGTCTATCTGCAAATCCCAACTGTTGCTGCTTTGCTGAATCTGTTTGACAACTACCACCCTTTAGTGTCTATCCAAGAGTCCTTCACACCAGAACAGGAGTCTGAAATAGAAGTTTTCCTTGACGCAGTTTTTGACACTGAAGTATTCCGAGTCATGACTGATTTCTTCTTGGCCAAGGGTATGAAAACCACTCAAGTTTCTATCAAGTAAAGCATACAAAAATTTACATCAGAGATAGCTTCAACCTCATTTTTTGTGGCATTTCATCAAATTATCAATAAATGCGAAATTAAAGCCTGTATTAATAGCTTGACTGTATATATGTGATATTCAACAAATAGAAAATACTGCACTACTGATGAAAATTGGAAAATGCATTTCAGAAATGTTTGACAGTCAAGAGAGCCTGAGAGCAAAGCTGAAGGAGGTGTGGTTCAACCGTTACTGCAGGGATGCCAAAGATGCTGATGATCATCCTCTGCAACCCAAATGCAATGAGGGCTCAAGTGGGTTTGAGCATGTTTTCTTGGGAGAGCAAAAATCCAACTCAATCAGTGGTGTTCATGGATGGATCTACCTGGCCCTACAAGAACGAGCAGGAAATATCAACTACTTTGGCCACATGACCACCAGAACTTTTGGGGACAAGGTACACAAATTATAGGGCATAGCCTGAAAATGAGCCCATGCAAAGGATTTTTATACAGTATGTACTGCATGTACTTGAGTCTCTCATGCTGGAAAATGTTAAAAAATTTAAAAATGGATTTAAAATAGGAAATAATAACTTCAGGTTCAGTTCAAGTCAACATTTAAATTTTCATAGTTTTTTTTAAATAGAAAAAATTCAATAAGAAAGATTCCTGAATCTTACTTCTGGCCAGATTTTCATGCAAAATTTTGCTGGAGACTGGGGAGAAGAGCATGGTGTATATTCAAGTAAGTATACTATGTACAGTGCTTAAATTTGTTGGAATATGGCAACATTAGCTGGTCATCAACCCTCCAGTTAATTTGAATTATATATTATTTTTATATAAAAAAATCTTGGTTGACGCAAGACCAAATGAGGGAAGAGGATTCTCTTGAATTTACATTAAGTCTATCCCAACGTCGGGTGTTGGGTTGGGCAGCCCTAAACAATACAACAACGATAATAAAAAAAAAAGAAGCAATGCGCTTAACCCCTTGTATATGAAACCCGCTGTCTCTCTGTCTCTCCTGGGTTGTCTCCTCCGCCTCCGTGTTGCGTAAACGCCTGGTACTGTACTTGTGCGGTATGTGTAGGTGTGGGGTGCGGGACCTTGAACTGGACACTGCTTGGGCAGGGGTGCCAGATGGCGCAACAGTACTGTACCGGATGCATCAGAACCACATTTGCCCCATCCCCCACCTAATTCACATTGAACTGCTTGAACCAGTATTAGAAGATTAATATAATTTTGTATGATAATCTGTTGATTATAAAAAGAGATGATGCGATTTTCAGTATAATTAACATCATTGCTTGTTTAGTAAATATCCGAATTGAGAAACATATCTATGGTATACGCTGTAAAGCATTCCTTCTGTTTTATTGAATGGATGCGTGATGCATGTCTGTGCATTAAGTAATCATCTGTGGACAAGTATGTGCATGCTGTGTGTGAGGCCACAACATACAGTACAGTACTATATATGAATTCCTAAACAGATGCAGAGTAAATGCAGGGCACTGCCAAACTGTCAATGAAATTTTTAAAAAATATTGCATTTCAACCTTGATAACTCAAACATATCTAAGTCAAATTTTCAAATTTGGCCTGTTGGCAAATATCTTTTTGACACAGTAAAGAGAAAATAAATGAAAAGTGACTTGATGTGTTTTGAAGAAAGTGAATGCCTGATTAGGCAAATGAACCCTTGCATCCAAGTTCAGCATTCTGTGACTCATTGAAGAAGCAATTTAAGACCCAGAATATCACCATTTTCTTGCAATTCTTTTCTTGTCTTTTCCAAACAAAAATGCTTGTTTCCCTAACTGGAAACCTCCCAAACTCAAATTTGTCTGCTGGTCTTTTGAAATTTGACTTGAAGAGGTTTAGTTGTAATTTTTCAAAGATTTTTAAAGCAAAGTGAGCTACTAGCTCGTATGGAGAGAAATTAAAAATAAAATCTATCATAAATCTAATCTTTAATCCCTCTTCTAATACAGTATTGTGAAGTGATTGAAAAAGTTTCAATTGAAGTCTATATGAAGAGAAACAGTGATTCAACATGCTGTGGACATTGAAACGTATACAAATTATAGACATAATCTCAAAACGTCATTGCGGTCGCATCTCTCGGGAAGGGGGCGGGTATAAGGGCCGCACTGTGCTATTTTACACACCGTGCACGAGAGTACATCAGCGGGCACCAGCTGTAAAACCTGGCGCAACAGTTGCCGGCGTGGTGGTTCACGACCCGTTGAGCGGAATCTGTAAACACTAAACAAAAAAAAGGAGCAAGCGTCTTGCATGCGGCCGTTGGAGCAAAGGCGCTGTGCACCGCAAAGACGCGCTGGAATCCGAATCACTTATGAGCAATGAGTCATCCCCTCTCCAGCAGTGTTGTACTGTACTGTATAAATAAACTGTGGCTGATATCATAGATGCGAACTTCATTTGGTACACGTGCTCTATTCAAAATACTGTATAGTCAATTATATCTATCCACGAGACACAAATAATGTACAGAAATTACTTACACATTTGGAAAATTTGGGACAGAAAGTTCTTGTGGCACTTTTGGATTTCCCTGCTATATTGCTGCACTCCATAGTTCTTTTGCATGTAAATGTTACCCTCATTGATATTGGCAAATTATGTTTCACACGTGTTTATTTCAATGCTGAACATCCATTGCGCAATAATATTTCACATTCTATTTATAAACTTTGAAATGGACTCAGACACGTTTTAAGTGAACTATTTTATCCTCATGGGAAAATGTGTGAGTTTTAGCCACGCCATTTACATTTAGAAACAGAAAACAGTATTAAAGAATTTCATTCTACTGTGCTGTCCTGTACTAGCATAGCCAATGAAATAAGAAAAAACCTAACACAACGTACGCTACCCTAGATTTGAGCATAAATGCTTTAAAGTGATGCATAACNATTCCTGAATCTTACTTCTGGCCAGATTTTCATGCAAAATTTTGCTGGAGACTGGGGAGAAGAGCATGGTGTATATTCAAGTATGAATTTGTTGGAATATGGCAACATTAGCTGGTCATCAACCCTCCAGTTAATTTGAATTATATATTATTTTTATATAAAAAAATCTTGGTTGACGCAAGACCAAATGAGGGAAGAGGATTCTCTTGAATGAGTAGCAGCAGCACATCAGCCTCTTGACACCATGCAGCAGCTGATGTGCCAGAGCTGACCAGCTCTTTGCACCACCTCTCCTCTGCTAAACACCTTTGTTTATACATTGTTTTGTACCTGATATATACACAGGGCAGCGCCATTGAATTCGCCTTCACCTGGGACGGACTGAAGAAGCCCATCTCCAGTGTGTTTGTGGGTGCCAGTCCCGAGTTGGATCTGGCATCCCTGAGTGTCTGCTTCCTCCTGCGACCCAACTCTCTCTGCTCCGTGTCCATCTCCGGCGTGGGAGTCAAGATTCAAACTTACACTGAGGCCTACAATGGCCAGCAACTGGTGGGGACGGCGTATTACGATGTGTCTAGCTGATGAGGATCATCCGTCATCAGAGCAGGAGACTGCACGTATATACCGTATACCATGATGATTGCTATATATGCTGCACTTGTGTACATTAAGTCTATCCCAACGTCGGGTGTTGGGTTGGGCAGCCCTAAACAATACAACAACGATAATAAAAAAAAAGAAGCAATGCGCTTAACCCCTTGTATATGAAACCCGCTGTCTCTCTGTCTCTGCTGGGTTGTCTCCTCCGCCTCCGTGTTGCGTAAACGCCTGGTACTGTACTTGTGCGGTATGTGTAGGTGTGGGGTGCGGGACCTTGAACTGGACGCTGCTTGGGCAGGGGTGCCAGATGGCGCAACAGTACTATACCGGATGCATCAGAACCACATTTGCCCCATCCCCCACCTATTTCACATTGAACTGCTTAAACCAGTATAAGAAGATGAATATAATTTTGTATGCTAATCTGTTGATTATAAAAAGAGATGATGCGATTTTCAGTACATACAGTATGATAAACATCATTGCTTGTTTAGTAAATATCCGAATTGAGAAACATATCTATGGTATACGCTGTAAAGCATTCCTTCTGCTTTATTGAATGGATGCGTGATGCATGTCTGTGCATTAAGTAATCATCTGTGGACAAGTATGTGCATGCTGTGTGTGAGGCCACAACATACAGTACAGTACTATATATGAATTCCTAAACAGATGCAGAGTAAATGCAGGGCACTGCCAAACTGTCAATGAAAATTTTAAAAAATATTGCATTTCAACCTTGATAACTCAAACATATCTAAGTCAAATTTTCAAATTTGGCCTGTTGGCAAATATCTTTTTGACATAGTAAAGAGAAAATAAATGAAAAGTGACTTGATGTGTTTTGAAGAAAGTGAATGCCTGATTAGGCAAATGAACCCTTGCATCGAAGTTCAGCATTCTGTGACTCATTGAAGAAGCAATTTAAGACCCAGAATATCACCATTTCCTTGCAATTCTTTTTTTGTCTTTCCCAAACAAAAATGCTTGTTTCCCTAACTGGAAACCTCCCAAACTCAAATTTGTCTGCTGGTCTTTTGAAATTTGACTTGAACAGGTTTAGTTGTAATTTTTCAAAGATTTTTAAAGCAAAGTGAGCTACTACCTCGTATGGAGAGAAATTAAAAATAAATTCTATCATAAATCTAATCTTTAATCCCTCTTCTAATATTGTGAAGTGATTGAAAAAGTTTCAATTGAAGTCTATATGAAGAGAAACAGTGATTCAACGTGCTGTGGACATTGAAACGTATACAAATTATAGACATAATCTCAAAACGTCATTGCGGTCGCATCTCTCGGGAAGGGGGCGGGTATAAGGGCCGCACTGTGCTATTTTACACACCGTGCATGAGAGTACATCAGCGGGCACCAGCTGTAAAACCTGGCGCAACAGTTGCCGGCGTGGTGGTTCACGACCCGTTGAGCGGAATCTGTAAACACTAAACAAAAAAAAAAGGAGCAAGCGTCTTGCATGCGGCCGTTGGAGCAAAGGCGCTGTGCACCGCAAAGACGCGCTGGAATCCGAATCACTTATGAGCAATGAGTCATCTCCTCTCCAGCAGTGTTGTACTGTACTGTATAAATAAACTGTGGCTGATATAATAGATGCCAACTTCATTTGGTACACGTGCTCTTTTCAAAATATAGTCAATTATATATATCCACGAGACACAAATAATGTACAGAAATTACTTACACATTTGGAAAATTTGGGATAGAAAGTTCTTGTGGCGCTTTTGGATTTCCCTGCTATATTGCTGTTCTCCACAGTTCTTTTGCATGCAAATGTTACCCTCATTGATATTGGCAAATTATGTTTCACACGTGTTTAGTTCAATGCTGAACATCCATAATATTTCACATTCTATTTATAAACTTTGAAATGGACTCAGACACATTTTAAGTGAACTATTTTATCCTCATGGGAAAATGTGTGAGTTTTAGCCACGGCATTTACATTTAGAAACAGAGAACAGTATTAAAGAATTTCATTCTACTGTGCTGTCCTGTACTAGCATAGCCAATGAAATAAGAAAAAACCTAACACAACGTACGCTACCCTAGATTTGAGCATAAATGCTTTAAAGTGATGCATAACTGCATTAAACCAATATAACAATTGAACTTGATCAATGTGATCATCAGGCGTTGATGAGGGTGGAATCTTAAATAACTTTGAAGCAGATAATCAAAATGTGGGATAAAGCAAGAGAAAAGCAGCAATAAAAAGGAAATTTTGCAAAATGTAAAAGGACAGAATTGATAAGATGATGGATGATGATTACATACATTCTGAAGAGCTTTTCCACCCAGGCAACAGACCGCAACACGCAAGTGCACAGAACCAAATCCATTAAAAGCCACATGGAGCTTATTTATACCAACACTTTCATAACCATGCAGGTGTCATTATAAGAACTGTTTACCAGAACAGAAAGTTCCTGTTTGTGGAAAATTATATCAAGTAAAAGAGGAACAGAGTTTAACTGGCACACAAGATCAGCACATTTTTCTATTAGGAGAAAACTATTTTTGACAATATGGATTGCCTTGAAAATTTTCTGGGAGTTTCATTTCCAAGTGGATTGCTGCTAATAAATAAGGATTAAAAAGAATTCATTAAATCACTCTATTAAAGAATTCTTAGACCTTACCTAACGTCCAAGGGATTGAGTCAGTTATTTGAAGAAGTTAGTCAATGAGACGTTGTTTATTCTGTGAACTGCGACGTGATGTAAATATCCAATTAGTGCTTTATTTGTCTAAACTACTGTACTGTTTATACTATACTGTATGTGAAGTATACTTTTTTCAATTACGAAACTACCCTTTTTCAAAATGAATTAAGCACAGCATTAACCGAAAGACCAGCACAGACTGAAGTATAATGCACCAAAATCTCATTACACTGAATTCCTGGGGACCCAACTTGATTATTTACTGCAAAATTTTGTTGTATTGAGATTCATGGTTTTTAAAACATATTATCGGAATAATTGTTTAGGAAATGCGCAATAAAGTGCTATAACGTGCTTCTCCTAAAGATAACTCATGACCTGCCATAAGTTATAAGGCTCTCTTTTTAAATAGAGATGCAAATTCTGGAATATATAATAATACTGTACCCTCCCTTTTATTGAACCTGGCTTTCCACAAAATTGCCACTTGTCCTGAAAAATCAAATGAAACGAAAGTGCATGTCGGAAAATACTTAACTCGGACTCAACTCAATTCTGTACCACTTTAATTTTTCCATTTCTCTGCCACTTATCATGTATAACCCCTCTACTATGGCCTCAGGGCCAAAAATTCGTTGTATACTAAGACTACCGCCCAAAATGAGTTTGTTAAAATGTGATTTACAACATGGTGCCTACGGACCGCGAAAAAAATCGTTATAATTTAAAAGTTCGTTTTACGCGTGTTGTACTGAGACCCGCGTTGCGTGACGTCGTGACGCTTCAACTCGTCGGCATAGCGTCGAAAGGGCAAAGTGGGAGCGCGCAGAGGCAGCCGTTGTCAGTGAGGATCAAACCGTCAATCCGGTTGGACGTCTGCCTGAGGTACGCTAAACGTACTCCGACGTGTCTCATCCTTCTGTGTTTTTATTTCTTCTGTGCTTCGCAAGAAGATCCCCCTCTTTATGATATCGTGAAACTTTCTTTAGTGTGTAAAGTGCATTGTTGTGACTCGACTCTCTCTCTCTTCCTTTAGCACTACCACCCCGTGCTGCTCCAGCCTGAGCCCCTAAAGCAGGAGGAGCTGCTGTAAAGGTACAGGTCGAAGTACCTTTTGGACTTTTGGTCCATCCTATAGTAGTGAGACTTTTTCTCTCCTTTCCTTTTTTTTACCTCCTCCTCCTCCTCCTCCTCCTCCCTGAATTCGTCACTTCATTTCCTGATCGTGATCCGGCAAACGCCGAAAAAAAGCGATTGAAACATTCCAAAATGACGGAAAAAAAGAAAAGAAGACGGACCAAAATGTGATTCACTCACTTCCGCGAAACCGAGTCGTGATCACCTTTTTTTTCTCTCTCCTGCCCGAAGTGAAAAATAAAATAAAAAATTCGTTTTCGTGTCCAGGAATATGTGCAAGAAGACGAACAAAAACCCCCACCACTACCGAACTGATGAAGATACAAAAAGGGCGAATGTTTTCATTTGTAGAAATGTAATATGTGATGGGTAGACAAGGACGTTTTTTCTGCTGTTGCCATCATGTTTGCAGCAGCAGTGATGTCACACATTTTATATTTTTTGTTTTGTTGGAGACGGATTATTTCCTCAAGGGAATAAAAGAGGGACACACACACACTCATGACAGGACTGAAATTGTGATTCACGAATCCATTTCCTTATCAGCAGTGTGGCACAAAACCATTTCGAGGACTTATACTTATTTGTGCCTTTTGTTGCTGCTTGGTTGTATTCTTTGAGTTTAGACAACGACGACGACGACGACGAAAACCCGCGGAGAAAAGAACCGTCCTTTTAACTATGACTGTTCACCACAAACGTGACTGAACACGAGGTTGACAAGGGACGGGGAAAAGATATCTGGTTTGAAATTATAGTACTGTACTGTATTCAAGAACAGGCTTTGAAAGCATGTACATTATTAAAAAGAAAGAGCAATGGAGCATAGAATGCAGTGAAATCTCCTTACAACAAATACTGTTGCAACAAACTTTTCAGTATTTATAACAAACCTATTCTCAAGTCCCAGTGGGAAGCATAGACTATGTGTTAAATACAGTACTGTACTTGAAACCAGCTTGTTCTGACAAAATTCCCAATCCCAGTAAAAAAAAAAAAAACTTTTTTGAGGAATTTTGAATGCATTTTCCAAGTGGACATTTCCTGACAAAGGCATTGAGGCACAGTCTGGAATTTCTGATCTTGAATGTAACTGACTGGTTTTTATTGGAGCATTATATGGAAGCTGAAATTGATGATAAACCTGCTTCCAAGTGGTACAACGCATGACAGGCATTGAATGAAGAGATGCTGCTGAGACAGAAATCTTATCTTCAAAAGCAGTGAGAAATTCCAATAAATCAAGAATGACTTGGCTGATTGATGGGGTGAACTGAAGGCTATCAAAAATATGGTTTTATTTATGGGGTTTGTTTGCAAAATGGTTGTCATGCAATGAGACAAATCAAGAATGAATTAAACAAGGGACATTCCAGATTAATTACATGATGCTATGTTCTAAGAAAGCTAGATCTGGAAGACACAAAAATGGTTTTTGATATTCTTTGACACCTTGATTGGTCTGGGCAGCTGCATTATTATGGTGGGAAATGTGGCCAGAACATTGGCTCCTTAAAAATGGATACCTTACAGAACTTATTTTACAGATGGTTGTTTCCCATACCAAAATGAAGCAGTACAGGTGGTACTTTGCAATTTGACCATCCTGCAATTCAGCAGTCAAATTT